TGCAATTAATTAGGACTAATTCTTTTAATTAAACTTTGTTTAACACAAAAGTTCGTTTATTTCATTCGTGGATATATTTTTTTATATTCATCTTAGGTATGTCCAAAAGTAGTAAACCCATAGGCAAAACCGATGCTACCAATTTTGTAAATGAAGGGCAACAGTAGTTTATAAAAAATGTTTGGTAAACTGGAATTTTTAATAACTTTAAAATATGTATTGAAAAATAATACAAACGTAACTATATTATACAACTGCCGGAATCACCTGTGTGTGGTAATTTAAGCATAGCGAAGATTTGTGAGAGCAACGATTTTAATGTTTTGGAATATACCTCCAAACGGACGGTATTCCAACACATCGATTATTTCATTATTATTATTATTATTATTACATATATTCATGTTATCTTGTTATTCAGTCCCGAGAATTATTTGAGAGAATAGTATTGCAGAGTTGGATCATCTTAGGACCAAATCTTGAGTGGATCTTACTCTAAAATACTAAGTATTACCTCAAACTGCATAATTTAATGTGCCTAAAAATCCCGTTCTTTTCCATGAAACCATTATTTATGGAGAGAAAAAAATGTAAACTTCGCACACTTAGTATACTCGTATATCTATTCTCAATATTCGGGTGACACGTAGTAATGGATTTTTAAATTACAGCACATCCACACGTTCTACTATACACACCAAAATACTTCATGATATCTGAGTTTCAATAGTATTTTTCATCTACAACATGAATTACAAAATAATCAACAACTATACATGATGCATTCAAGGGTACGCGTCCGTTTGCTTTCCTTTCCAATTTAAACATCATCAATATTTACAGAATTCATTATATCGACTACTAGTTTTAAATACACAACCCCAAGAAATAGTGTTTACATACAAACATGTTCTTCAAGTTTTCGTTGTTGACAATGAAGCGTTTCTTGGGTGAATACAAATTAGTTAACAAGAGTCATGCATGTACTTAATATATATTAATCAAAAAAGTTAAAAAAAGCGTTATTACAGGATAAAATAACCCAAAATAACCCAATAGAAAAAAATCCTCTATCGGTTACTAAGCGTGAGCAGTTGTGTCGTGAGATCCAATATGCTTATACATATGAAGGGTACACAGGAATAACGATCAAAGTCCCTTTTTTTATCAAATTGAGATAAGAGTACCATCTTGTAGGAAATGCTAAATACTACAGTAGTATAAATTAAAACCATTCAAAAAACGATCAGTAAGCAGTAAGAAGGGCTTAACATATGGTATCCTTAGGAAGATAATACACATAATACACGTTTTCCAGTATTATATATTTATTTTTGTTTAAGTTAATTACTACGTTTGTTTGTCCACTCTTTGTGTGTTATTATTAATTAATAGGTTTCACATTAAACAATAATACTAAATTGCTGTGTTGTTTTGTGACTTTGATCGTTAATCCCATGCACCCTTCATATGCTTATAAATATGGTGGAGGAAAAAAAAATCGTCTAACAAGCATTACAATTTAATGTCAAAAAAATTGTGTTGGCAACATAACGAACGTTCCTCGTTAGATTTGACAGTTACGGTCAAATAACTGTCAAATAGTTGCAATGTCATAATATATTCTTTTACAGTAGATAAGGCACAATGCATCTCATTATTTAAAAAATAAATGTAGCAGCTTACTTGGCGACTTTTTTTATCATATGGCACAAAGTTATAAATAATAATAATAATACATTATTATACGAGCATGTTGTGCTGGTGATGGGTATTGTTCAAGACGATGTTTATCCATGAGCGAGTAGTTTAAATCACCTGAGTGAATAAGATTCATAACATGCAAAGCATTTAATAATTTGTTTTAAAAGTACAAAATAACAAAAGTTTTAATTAATTACTGATTGGCCAAAAAAATTGTAACATTTGTTTTGTTGGAGCACTATATTAGAATAAATTGTTGAAAGATTGGGTTATGGTCATAACTCAATGGTTTTCAGCCAATCAGAGCTCGGAGCTCGTATTGAATTTCATAACTGCATAGATATTAGTTATCTGAAAAGGTAAGACGTGACAAATATGTTTTTTAACAGTAAATGTACTTTTTACAAACAAGTATAACCGACAAAATTTAAGTTATTCTTAAGCTCTTTACTATGTTACAAATAATGCATCATTTCTAATTATTTTTAAATATGCATGTACTTATGTTTTTATTACAGTTACAACCAGGTAAAAATACATACACGAGTGTGGGTAGTCATAGGTACTCATAATCACTAAAAAACTGAAATACATTGCGTCTTATCAACTTTAAAAGTATACAAACTCTGAATCATTCAATATATGACTAAAAATCAGCTAACTTTTTACAAAGATATATCAAATCGAACTTCCTTCATGAAATATTCCACTCTATTTCACATATACACCACGATTCACACACACAATGCCAACGTTCTTTAACTAACCACCTGCATAACTTTGTTATACTCCAACGCAGGTTTTTTTTATAAATTGGGTATCCTTCTTTTTATTACTTAGAATTACACTTTTTTTTATTTAAAAGATGACAAAAAAGGCAAGTATAGTAGCCTGCATAGATATTGTAGCCGTCCATAGAGTCGAAATTTGCGAATAAAAATAAAATAAAACCGGTTCAAACGGAGCCGACGGTGGCTTGCAAATTCTGACGTCACTCTGGCACACGTTGTACAGAGACGTATTTAAGATTAAATGTCATCTTTTCCGTTATGATATAATCGGTTTCATTTCTGAGCTCAATGTCGTCAATAAAAACGAAGCTCTGTTCACTGTACACAAGTTGTGGTATGGTATATTCATCGTTGCGGAGGTAGGTGGAGCGAAAAACCTAGCCATCTTAGCAGCAAATACGACTATCAATTAGTCCACGTGGACTGTTTATTTCCTGTCATATTTTAGTTTGCTTGAACCAATTGTGTTGCACCAAACGGTTACTATACTTGTTGAAATACATTTTCAAACTTCTATCTTTCTCTAGATCGTCGGTTTCGTAGCTGTGTGACAAATCGTTTGTCGTAGATAGAAAATAGTAAGATTACAGTGACCCTAAGATTTTGTGCAAACGGTCTTAAATACACCCCTGTGTGATGCGACACGTGCCGTAGTGATAGAACTTGCAAGCCGTCGTCGGCTCCGTTTGAGCCGGTTTTATTTTATTTTTATTCGCAAATTTCGACTCTATGGACGGCTACAATATCTATGCAAGCTACTATACAAAGTCCCATAATGGACTCAATGCCAAAATATAAGATATAAATAATGTATTTATTAAAATTTTAGCTTCAAAACCCCGTATCTCAGAAGACATAACTTCATTTTTGCTTCTTCGAGGTCTTTTCATAATCTATGTTTAGTTTCATATGACTAATACCTATATAAATATAAGTTTATTTTTTACTTTTGCAAATTTCACTATGTATCTCGAAGTTATAAGGGTGTGGGGACAAAAAATTTGCAGTTTCAAACTAATATAACTTTATTATTAAATGACGAATTAAAAATGTGATTATTAACATTTATAACACTAACTTTAAAGAACACAATCTGCACTACATCTACTTTCTTCGGTAATTTTTGTACAGCGCGTTAAATTTGTGAAAACCGATATTTTTGTCTACCAGATTTTCAGCAATATACACCGCTTAATTCTCCATGTCTAGAGGCTTCCTAACCAATTTCACAAAAATTCCTCTTTGGATTTCTCCAAAAGCATTCAACTGTTCGCAGTTAAGGATCGTTCGGAACATTTTTGTCCCTTGGAATAAATTGAATGTTTTATTCATTATATGCAGCAATAACGTTTGCTACGTAATGATTCAGAAAGATTTCTGCAATTTTGTTTTTGTTCCAACTTTTGTTTTTCTGAATATTTGGGAGCTGATTTTCGCTTTGAAAGTATGACTTAAGTTTGTGCAGATTTTTTCCCCACATCCAAACTTATACACAGCTACTAGCAAAGATAATTAAAACTTCATTTTTAAAAAATCAATTTCTGGGTTATATCAATAATTTTTTACACTAGCTTTTTTAGATGATATACATGGTTACCACATAATCACGACATAGGAATACAATACCCATCTCAAAAATGTTTTAAACTTTTCCTGAATATATTTATTTTTATTCTTTCCATTACGTGAAACCATCTGAATATGATTTGTTAAAAACTAAGCACTTGATAAAAACAACATTCATTCATTTTGTATATGAATAATCGATAGTGTTATTATGCTCATCTTTTGAGATCATGTACACGTCTACAATTCCTTCTAGTGAATGATTCGATTAAAAGCTATTAAAAACTGTCCATTTATCTTAATAATTCAGTTCTAGCAAATCTGCGGCTACGGTGGTTGTGGTTTCAAACATTTTGCTCCGGCGCCAAAACTATTGCAGTAATATGAATACGATTATGCGGTTATTTAATATTAGTTTATTAGTACCACTATAAATTTATTTAGTTCGACATTAACTGAAACGAAACAGAGATCTCCACTGTTGGATTTGTTTAATACCGCTACGATAAGATAAGAGTCATACTAAATATGTACCTTTCTATCGATTTTTCGGGTATGGCCAACAAAATCAAAGGTATTTACAAAAATATATATTGATATGGAAAAGTATCACATAAAAGTAGCGTAGGTATCTCAAAAATAAAACCCATATGTAGGGATAATTAGCTCTTAAAATAAATTTCACAACCTTCACTTTATCAAAATTGATTATCTAATCTGTTACAACAAACTATACGAACAGTATGAACCCAAAGCAATGTCACATAAAAAGTTAATACACACAACATGCGTTTGCATAATATAAATGCATGTTGTCAAATGTTTCAAGGTTGACAAATTCATTAAACACAGTTAAAAAATTACTACAAATTAACAATGATTACTTCCATTAAACTGAAAATGGAGCATTGTGAGAATAAATAATGTACAGTAGCATACCTGTGAAGGAGGCAAGTTATCCGTTGGTTGAGGCATTATCGAAATTATCAACAACACTTCAAAACAAAACAACACTATGTTAAATTAAACAAAAACACACAAAAACTTAAAACACCTAAAGTTAAGTAAGGCCCAACTTGAAGAATATCATCACCTTCTCCACTCCCAAACAGCTACAAACCAACTAAACTGGAATTAGTGTTTCGTGAATCATTCGACGACTCGGCTACAGATCGTGGAACTGAGCATGCACACAAGCGGTTATTGATCATGGGTGTTACGCAGTTTTTCAACACAACCTTTGTTGACCGTCTGTATAGTACACCCTGTCATTCTGTATAAGGTCCAGAACAGAAGTCAGAGAGTCACACAGCATCATACGTATGCGGTACCTTGTTGAATACCATAAGGATGCCATATGCACATACTTTTTGCATCCCATTATTGCGTATTCTTGGCGAATGTGAAACTTGTACAACAAAATAAACTCTGAACGCTACAACGCAATAAAAGACAACGTAAGATTATTTTATTAAGGTTAACACTATTTTAAAAATTACAGACATGATTAAATTAAATTAAATGTATAAAAAACTGATCTAATGTTATTACTACAGAAGTTCCCTCATCACTGAAACACAAGTAGTATATATTAAAACATATTTTTGAAGAACGATTTATTTAGTAAGTTTAGTAAAGTATAATACGGATAACGTTACTCTGTGTTAAGAAACTCCGGGCAAATAATTTAAATTTTGGAAATGTTGCTGCCGGGGGCCAAATCATGACTTTCCACATTCAAAATGGAGGAACAACTCTGCTCACACTAAATCATAATATAATAATAATAATCATAATAAAAAATGAATTTAATCCATATTTGTTAATCATTAAGTCAGTATTACCTATTGTATCACCAAAATTTCAAAAAAATTCATCATGTATATGTTACAGCTAATATCCGAAATACGTTATTATGCATAATAACCGGAAACATTAGGAATTATGCCTAATAACTGAATTTTTCAGTTATTATGCATAATAACGGAAACGTTTAGGTAATATTGATAATAACTAACAGAGGAACAGGAATTATGCATAATACCTGAAACATTAGTCATTAAGCATATTGCCTAACATGTCCAGCTAATTTCACAAAAAACGGGACAAGATGAGCAATTTAGGTTCTCATAGATCAATGAAAAGCAATGGCAATATGACGTTTATGTAACTGTAATTTGTCCCTTTTTTTTTAAATCAACTGTACATGTGATATGTAGGGGAAAGCGAGGCAGGGTGGGTAGCTTTTTTGAAAATATTATGCATAATTCCTGTTCCTCTGTTAGTTATTATCAATACTACCTAAACGTTTCCGTTATTATGCATAATAACTAAAAATTTCAGTTATTATGTATAATTCCTAATGTTTCCGCTTATTATGCATAATAACTGATAAGTTTAGTTATTACGCATAATTCCTAAAATGTCTAGTTATTATGCATAATAACGGATTTCGGATATTAGCTGTAACATATATACTACCAGGAAAGTACCACAGATAAACGAATGTATTACAATATAAATTTCAACCAAGATTTACTTAGCAACAAAAATATAGGCTCTTTAGTGGAAAAGTTTATTTATCACAAGTTTTTAATAAACAATCATAGGACTACCAGAACTAAGTTCACTTTTACTTTTTTAAATATGAGTTAATGAGTTAAAACTAATTTTTACTAAAATATTATTTGAAAATCTCTAAAGAAAAAAAACATCGTTAGCTTCATCTTGGCATTTCCATTTTTAACAGAAATGAAATTGTCTTATGGTCCTTAATATTCAAAAACTCATAAATAGACTTGTTCATGTAGATCCTCTATTTTGTTATTGTTACATGTTACACTAGTGATCAACGTTATATAACACTCTTAATTTAACTGTATGCCGATACCTAATTTAAACTGGGTTTAGTATTACTGCATTAAACCTCATTTTAATAAAATCTTTCTGATTTATAATACTTAAAAATACAATTTGCAAAGAATGGTCTAAAGCTATTTAGACAAAACTTCCCTCGTCCCCAAAAGTACAATAAAACAAATCCAATTTATATATACAGTGACATGTATGTGTCAAAATTTAAAATGACAAACGACAAGCAGTACTAAAATTACAGGTATACTAGACGCAAACATTTAGTGCGTTTATGGCTTCACACCAATTTAACTCCCATTATAATTCAGTAGGCTGTCACAGCCGAATGGCTTAGAGCCGTTTGACACGGGACTAATTTTCGTACTAAATTGTAAGCGATAGAATGCGCGCGCCTGCTTGTATACAAGAATTTATTTAGAACTGGTTATAATTTCTCGCATACAATTTAGTACGAAAATTAGTCCCGTGTCAAACGGCTCTTAAACCCGCTTACTGATAACCTACCTGAAAAGACCATTTTTGGTAAAAGCACAGGGCAGTACTGTCTCGGCCGTCCTTGACACGTGGCATAGTTTGCATTTGCTAAGTTTTATGAAGGGTCGGCTGTAAAGTACTTTAAACGTCAAACCATGAACGCACTAAATGTCTGCGTCTATATACGGCCGTGGTCTATTATAAGGTTATCGTACAGTTGCGGATATTTTATGTCAAAATGACACAACAGTAGCGTTTAAGTTTAAGATAATATGCATATGTGAAAAATGTCTTGACATTTTAATTTTCAATCTACGTACGCCTATGACTTCTTATAAAATCAGTGAAATGAAATGACATCGTACTCGCAACCTTAGATCATAACTATAATAAATAGATACCAATACTCAAACTGAAAGCTGTGACTATACATGAAGCTATCTGTTGTCGTTTTCTACGTCAAGGGGAGTAGTATAATGCTATCCTTGTGTCATCACCACATCTTCATCTTTGTTATATGCATTTCATCTGTATATGTCTATTTCACTTCCATCCTTGTACCGCACCAGCGCAAGAAATGGCTTTTGACAGATGTTTCTTCTAACACCTCTCTTTCGAGTTGTTGTACAAAAAACAATTTTAGAATTTAGAACAAAGATCCTATTTTAAGTGATGTAGTCATAAAGGATCACAATTGCTGCCCAATAATTTACTATTTCTTTCGTTATCTACTGTGAATTATTTATAAAATCAAGCTGTCAACATATTTCTTCCGAAGTTAGTTCAGACATACTTCCTAAAATTTAGGCGCGCAAAATTCAAATAGTGATCAGGCAAGGATAGCTTCATTGTAATCCCTCCATGCACGAGAGAGATGTGTGACAGGAGGATGTCGTCACAGGCTGTCCTAGGGAAAGAACACGGCATGGTGGTATCTATTTATTATATGACCTAAGCTCGCAACTGTACATAGATATGTAGGCATCATGAAGGTAGAATGACAGGAGGGAGTATGCCTAATTTAACCAATGTTAAAGAAACGCCGGCAAAAGAGTACCAGGCAAGATCCATTTATGACCCTTTCTGTACTACATCGGGAACAGTCGGTTAACAACAGAGGATCAGAGGCAGTGCACTTTAGTTATGAGTGGTTCACAGGTACCAAGTATTAAAAGAATTTAACCCATATGGTGACCCAACTTGAATTAAGATTTCGCGCTGAAAAAAAAACAACGGAAGAGCGACACGAAACGCATTTGAGTAATTTGAATTTGAAAAATAAATTTAAAAAATTAAGAAACATAGACAACCACGTTTGTCTTTGTTTCTTTTTTGTTGGTAGTTTGGTAGCTCCTTTTGGGAATTAGTGAATGCCAATCTTTAAGTTGATAATTTTTTTGGTGAAATATTGGTAGTAGGAAAGCAGACTCGTTTTGGTTGAGATGCGTCACTTGCATACTTAGCTTGCATAACACTTTTTTTTTATAAATCAGGGGTGGCTCTTCTTAAATTTTGCACGAAAATTTTACCGTCGTAAGACAGAGGACGATTTTTTATTAAGTATTCAACTGAATTCTTTATTGTTATTTAAAATCAAACAAATGCGTTAAATGAAATTCCAGCCCCTACTCTGAGTGATTTTTCAAATGAACACCCGTTATAATTATTTACCCAGTTTTACTTTACTATCAACAATTTCACAAGTCTCAGGGTGTGCCAACGGGTGGGCCATGTCCCCCTCTTAGCGTCACCACTGCATAACGCATGCGCAGCTTATAATAAATAGTAGAACGAGTGTTCTGTGAATAGCACTTTTTTAACTATTCATAAGAGCTTGACAGTATTCTTTATTCATAAAAGTCATAGCAGTCATAAAATAGTTAATATGCAACTAGTCAGTAAAGTATACCGTTTTTCACGAGAAGGAAAATTTGCCGCACGAGCCGACGGCGAGTGAAAAAGTCACTTTACTCACAAATTGCATACAAAATGTTTTTTCACGTTCGTAACAAAACTCAACAATTTCAAAAACTTTTTATTTTGAGGCATAGATAATATTAAATGTAGCCGTATTTGTCGTCTGTACAATTTCTTCAGAAGAATGTCTTCTTGTACCATACAAGGCCCTTACAATAAATAAGGATTAAATTACAAAATTTTTGGATGCATTTGAATTTCTGACAAATGTGTTGATGAATCGTCATAGCAACGGCAAGCTTCTATGTTTTGCGTTTACATATCTTCCGTTAAAAAATGACGCGCTACGACACATTTTTTCACGCTTCTAGTGCGATGAAATAAACGCATCCTTTATAAACAAAAATTAATAAAAACTGTTATACTTTTTTAAACGAACGTGAAGAAAAAGTCATTTAACAGATATGATAGGTTTTTTATTAACTAATCTTGCTCTTTCTTTGCTTGTTTACGCTTGCGTCTATTTCTGCACTGCGTATGTTACTTACGACACTTATTACGTGAAGTTTTCAAGTTTTAACTGACATATTTTATAACCTCGTGTTGATCATATGAGTATCAACCTTACATAACGTGGGTTTTGATTTTGTTGTGCTGACTTGATGGTCACGAGAGATCACTTTGCACTTTGGTATTTGTGATAAATTCTGATTGTGTTCTACGTTCCAGGAAAGGCGGTAATGTTTGGATTCGTGTTATGTATGAACCATTGATAAAATGGCATAAGGCCATATTCAAACAACCCACAGATTAAACCATTGTGCAATTAATATGTGATTAATTTTATTGTCTTTTAGAATCTAAATTGAAATATTTTGTGATCAAATAATAATTTTGTATTTCGACAAAATGCAAAATGTGATGTACCGAATATTATTTGCAGTAAGTGCCACAATAATTCCAATGGTTCTAAGTTACTGGATTAAACAACGATATAGAAACAAATTACTTAAACTTCAAAGTCAGCAACGTGAATTTGATAACTCTTATTACCACTGTATGTTTTGGACGACAGACAATAATAAATGTAAAGAGCACATGTTCAATAACATAGAATGTCGCAACAACTGCTCTGTCACATATTTGCAAACTCTTTTAAAATGCCTATCATCGTCTAAATCATCAATAGCAATGTGCATGTATCATCTTACATTGAAACAAGTAGCAGATGAGTTAATTAAAGCGCAAAGGAGAGGAATCACAGTACGAATAATTACAGATTATATCACTTCAAGAATTGAGCATTCAAAAATGAAATTGTTGAAGAATACACATGGTAAGCAATTAAGCACATTAATTTAAACAAATTTTCATAATTGTACAGTGAACTACACAACGTTTATACATAGAGTATATATTTTAAAAACAAATGGTTTATATCTTAAAACCATTCTTGAGTTTAAAAGCAATTTATGAAAATTTAATTATGTTAACAAGATCCATAAGCACCATCAAAATTTAAATCCATTTATCTTTAAGGTTTTGACGTGAGAACACCACCCTGCAATGACTCATTTATGCACCACAAATATTGTCTTATTGATGCAGAAGATGCAGATTTACAAAAACTGTTTTTGGGGTCCCTAAATTTAACTCTGCAAGGTTGTGTAGCCAATTTTGAATTTGTCGTAATCACCAACAATCCACACATGATTCGCGAGTATAGCAAGGAATTTAACGTCCTCTGGAATACTTTTGAGGAGTCAAATGTGCTTAGGTTATAAGTTTACAAATCAAGGAGAGTATAATTTTGTAACAAAAGTATATTCATATTGCTGCTTACAATTGAACATGTTTATTTTAATAAATCAGGTTTGTAACAAAGATGATTCAACGTTTATTACCTCAACTTGCGAGTTTAGAGGAAGCTGAATAAATTAAATATTTTGAAGGCTAAACACTACAGCCCAATTTTATTCTTCTAAATCTAAATCATTTAGTTCTTCATCTAAGGCTTCCAAATCTTCTTCAAGGAACAAATTTTCATTGATTGGTACTGCAGATGCACCATCCAGCTCTGCACCATTTGTTGCTGCTGAGGAAGTTGCTTGTAATCTATCATCTGGGGCCACAGTACCAGTTCCATCCACCTGAAAATTTATTTTTACAACAGATAAATATAACAGCACATGACTTACTTCCTCTGCACTAATAAGATCTAAATTAATTTCTTTATAATCTACACCATCATCTTCATTGTCAGAATATGTATAAGAGTCAATGGTTTCATCATCATCCATATCATTTTGTATAGCCATCTCAGGATTGAAACTAAACATTTCTCGGCCACTGAGACCCACTTGTTTTCCTGCTTTAAAGTCATTACGTTTTTTATCTTCTTCTTTCTTTGCCACATCTTTCTTTTCCTAATGAAAAACTGTCGAGATAAGTACCCAACAAAAATTCAAATCATACCTGAATTTTCCGTTTCTTCCACGCTAAAAACGTTTCTAAAGTAACCTTCGTTTGAGTAGGTCCTAAAGCTGCTCTTTCTTTTTCAATTAAATCTTCCAATGAGATCTCATCTTTTTTCTCATCTTTCTTTTTATCCTTCTTCAGTGTAAATCCTGGTGGTAAAGCATGTCTATAAATACATCCTTCTCCTGTAGGACATTGCCAGAACCAACCGTATTTTGATTTTTCTACAGCATCCAAAAAATGTTTACAGATCTAAAAACATTTTGTTAACAACAAGAATATTTTTAGCACATTATATACAATATCAGTTGTAGGCATCTTTCCAGTTTTCCCATGTTTCTTTTCTATTACTTCAATCAGTTTTTGTTCATCCCAGTTCTCCATGGTCTCATCTTCACCATCTCGCATATCAACATATAGTGATCTCTTTTCAGCTTTTCTCTCTATACTTAAATCATGAGAAAATTTACACTTATCTCCTTTACCACACTGCCCTTGCTTGAAAAATGCGCAAACTACAGACTTGGGATCAGTTCCTACAATAACCAATGAATACTGAGCATTTTATGTAGAATTAAAAACCTTTTTCCACTTTTTGGGTTTGAACGGGCCTAAACAATATTGCTAATTCTTTCTGTTCTTTCAACTTTTTCTCTTTTTCCAATTTCTTCGTGCCATCATCTTTGACAGGATGGTGTCCACCAGTTTTCACCTGCTTTTCCACTTGTTGTATGAACTTTTGTTGCTTGGCGCCTTTTTTATTTTTCAAGCCAAATGTCTTGTCCTTTTAAAATTTATAGGGCTATTAATTATATATACATACAACAAATTCATGCATTTACAAAACCATACCTCTATCACTTTTTCCTTTTTCTTTTGTTCAGTTTTTTTACTTGGTGCTGCTGGCTTGGGTTTCGGTGGCATTTTACACAAGTTGTACAATCAAATGTAGTACGAAATACGTTTTTTGGTATAACACAGGCGATCTTTACTTAAAATATTTTCCACATGGACGTCTTTTTTATTATGACAGACCTCACAATTCAAGATTTTGTGCAGAATTTGACAGATGCCAAAATTATTTTAGGGAAATTTTAACACATTTGATTTTAGGGTTTTACTACCGTGTTACCAACAGCATCCTACTCACTGACATATTTCAGTTTAAACACTATTGTAAAAATTTAAAACATGACTTCAACATATTCCTAGTTTCATTTAAACAAAAAGTATATATAAATTAAAATAGGTATTTTTAGTTTAATAATATTCCCAATTGGGGTTTAATTTAGTTTTTTTTGTTTTGTGTCTTTTTAGTTGGCAATTGCTATTTATAAATTGATCCAAGTTAAAATGGCCGTTGACTTTGCAGCATTTGTGATTCAACGTCAAATAAATCAAAAATAATTTTAAATAAATGTGTTTCAGTTTAATAGTCGTCTATATCTAATGCATAGGCTCAAATCTAAGTAAACCTAATGAACTAACATTGTGAGGAATATATAAAATGATCGTACAGGAACCCGTACAGGTAGTTTCCAGTTAACCTCTTCAAAATATATATTACAGTCTGAACTATGAATTGTTGAAATATATTTACTTATTTTTTAGGCTGCCATATGGCACTGCTTGAATCATTATGATTATTCTGATGCTGTTTTTCTGTCAGAGAGATTGTATGCTGAAGGTTTGTTAAAAAGAATATGAATTCATATTTCTATTTTTGTATTTGTTGTAGTCAAGTCTGATGATAGTTTATACCTTTTGGCAACGGCATATTACAGAAGTGGTCAAAAGGATCATGCATACCACATACTCAAAGAAAGAACAGATGCTTCAACACAATGTAGATACTTGTTTGGAATATGTGCTTATGATCTAGAAAAGTAAGTATGAACAAACATACATTAGAGCTGAAACATTTGATTGGTTTGAATATGTTATTCATTTTTTAATGAAAAATGTATACTTCACAAAGTAATAGTTGCACTTGTTTCTTAATGTTGTGTACATACATTTTTTCTATGTTTTTAAAAGTTCATTGTTAAACTTTTGCATTAATGGTTATTATTTGGCAGTACATGTAATAGTAGCAGGTAAATTGTTTAAGAAAAAAGAGTTATTTTAAAACAAATTCAACAAACACCAAGTTAAATAATTGCAGGAGGTAGTAAGTAATAGCATTCACTAAGGTGGTTACTATGGTCCGTTCAGTCACAGGTAATTTAGTTACAATATTTCAGAATCCAGCGATTAATTTTGTTTTTTTTTGTGTTATAAAGATACCAATTCTTATACTCACAACTACCTGCAATGAAACCATAAGAGGAGTTGCTACCTATATCTCTTATGAGATGTCAAAACACTGTATAAATTACATATTAGTTTTTATAAAAAGGAGCATATTTCAAATTTAGGATATGATATTTACAAGAGCACTTTTTAGAAATGTTCATAATTTCAAGGTGGGTTTTAATAATATTTTTATTTCTTTTTTAGACAATGCACCGTCAATTCAGCTGCATAGTTAAAAACCTCACACAAATATGATCATGAACAATTTTTAATAAAGTGCTGAAAAAAAACAACATGTTGTAAACGTTGTAGGTCCTACATTTCAAATTACAATATTTTTTTATTAATAACAGATCTCACATTTTGAACATGCACACATACATAGTTCACATCAGCTGTAGTGTATCGACTCCTTTTAATAAAGAATCAATGTCCAAGTTAATTTCTTTACAGCATAAAAAACATGACTGACTGGGTATTATTAAGTGTTAGAAGAACAGACAAATATGAATCGTACTTTTGGATCATGGTAGTTCAATAATTTTAAAAATTAATTATTTTTTTTTGTCCCACTACTTGGATCTAGTAGACCACACGTGATACCAATTTGTTAAAAGTGGGAAAAATATGCATTGCTTTGTAGCATTAATATAGTACGTTTTCTTTGATTTCTAGTTTATTCTAGACAAAATTGAAATTTTACGTTTTGCATTAATATATCTAACTAGCGTCTTAATTTAGTGGATTTTACAGCAATAAGAACTAAATTTGTAGATTTTGTACAGTTTTCTTTCATTTCACAATTTTGGAAAAAGAAAAGCATTCAAACTGAACATTTTGATTCCTTATTTTGGCAATATATTTTAATTTACATTTACATAAATATGAAAATTTTCTGATCAGTGATCAGCAGTACGCGGGATTCTATCTCACCGCTGCAATCCCCCAGTTGAAGTAAGGTGTGTTTTACGGCGAGTAGCGGGGACGCTTTGATCTGGTCGACAAGGTCGTAGCCAGTGCGTCGCTAGGAGTGTTTACAGCTGGTAAAAAAACTACTTCTATATTACTATATTACTTCAAAAAATAATACTCGATGCCTTTTTTAATTTTTCAACCACAGGACCGCAGATTTGTGATCTTGAAATGTTACATTATGTTGATATAATCCAAAAGAAAAATATATTTGTAATCAAACTATCGCCGAGACAGCACTGGATCTAGCGTATGAGATACAATTCCGCGCGTTGGTGATCAGACTTAACTTGTAACATCCAACCATGGGTAATATAAAACTTACCATCCTTTTTCAACCTTTTAACCACTTTGGCTAACTTTAAGTTACCTTGGTATTTGTTTTTGTGATTTTTGTACTTAAGTCCATTTTTACCTATTTCCAGTTTTAACATATACCGTGGTATCGTAGATTTGCTAAAAATCGTTTCATGCTATTTGTTATCGTTTTCAAGATTTAAAAAGAATGAACAAACACAAACCAATAGCGCCTTTTCTTGACAGAGACTGTTAAGAAATTAAATTTGTTGTCAATAAAAAAGAACATTTAGAATCTTAGTAGCAATAGGAGCGGTCAGGAGAATCAGGGAAATCAAGAGGTGCCCTGGACCGACTATGCTCGAGTTTAAAGGACATTTACCTAGTATTTTTGACAGCAATCCAGAACCTACCCAACTTTATCCAGCCGAAATTTATCCATGAGATGAAGTCATGATATTTTTGGAGGAGACATGGATAAATTTCGATTAGCAATTTACCATGTTCAAGATAACTTTAAAACGTTTGCAAGACCTTAGAGCATTGGGTTTGCAGTTTTTAGGTTAAATTGTAAAATGTACTATTTCAATTTTTTTTTTATCTAAAGACGGACTGGACTCATAAACCACAAATATAAAAGTGTATTATTTTATAAAATTTAAACAGGATTTACTTTGAAAAATTTAGAGATGACACCAGTGACGGCTATTCCTAACACAAACAACATTATTCAAACCTACCACACCAAGATTTCAAAATATCTACAATTATCGATAGAAATGAAATCCATGTTGAATCTTAAAAAAATTTCAATTCTACCCTTAGTTATCTCAATGTAGGTGTAGTGTGTAGTCCCAAATAGGTTAGTTGAGAATTTAAAGTCTTTGCATTTGAATGATTCAATAATTGTCAAAATTCAAAAAGCTGTTTTATTAGGAACATGTCATATTGTTCGTAAGTTTCTCGAACAGTTTGATCATGTCAGTCAGATTAGATTAGCACCAGTTGGTCAGAGTAGTGTAGGTCACTTTCCAAGTGATGTGCGGATAAATGATCGATAGTTATGCTAGACTTTTGGGGATGGGGTGAGATTAGAGAATAATAGCAGACTAATTTGTATGCTGTAATTCTAGAATCTCGAAAGTTGTTTTGTTAATCTAATCAATGCATATCATTATTTGATCTTAGTACCCGTAATGATAGAAGTCTTTGCCTGAATGCCGGTCATTTCCGGGTCAGTGGTGGGTCTTAATAATAATAATAATAACACCCATAATAGATTTAATCAACAATGTTTTTACAAGTCAAAATTTTGTTTAAACTAGCACCTTCTTAGAGAGATTTGGCAATAGTTGTTGTGTTCCTTTCTAAACGTTTTAGGCTTATGAAATTTTTAATGTGTACTTTGGAACTTTCATGTAACTTTGCACTTCGAATGAAATTCTTTAAATCGTTAATTAACGATTTAAAGAATTTCGTTATATCCCGGAGACGTCGTCCATGTGTGTTTTACATTGCCTAAGAGGAGACACGGCAACAATATAGACTTTCAGCATAAATACTACGGCAGAGCCATTTATATGTTTCGTGCCAAATTGATTTAAAAGACCTGGAGTACTGACGATTCTGTCACTTATCAATGGAAGTTAAATGAATTAACGGTTTTGACTGTTCGATATTTAGCCAAAATTGTCGACGTTCAGTTCGCCGTGAAAACGGCGTTTCAAGAAACAACATGACGATATCGTACTCGGGATTCAGTTTTCACTCACCTGTACTTCTGAAAGAGATAACAACACGAAATACATACACGTGGGCCTTTATTCACCTTTATGCTAATTACCCACGCACCCCGCACCCCTACCGTTCCGTAAAATAAATGGGAAAATGGTTTAAGTAGTACGCCGAAAATGCTGAGGTGAGTCATGGAAATCCGTGTCTGTGATTGGCTTCGTTGGCTCAAGTGAACCGATGTTCTGGCCGCTTCAGTTAAAGAACTAGGGGCATAAATCGTACAGTATTCAGCGAAAAATGTGAGCAGAAAGCGTAAAAAATAAAAAATTGCAACCAAAAATGCATTGAAAGCTTTTTTTTAATTATAAATTAAATCAATCTGTTCTTAAGATATATGCTGTTGGTGGGAATGATTAATCATCAAATATTTGTTAAGTCAGCTACACGATATTCCTAAAAAGACATTTAAAATCTCACAACAATTAGTCGAGTGGTTTCAGAAGTTATTTATCTAATAAAATCGCCAGTAGACTTCATAGTGCAGTCAATAAATACTTTTGCCCTACAAAAGGTAGGGTAGTAATGATTTTGATATATGTTGTTTTAGTGATATAAAATATAAGTTTTCGGTCTTGAGGAATGGGAACGTGAGCCGCCACCTTGAATTTAAGGGATGAAAAATTGAAATGAAATGTAAAAAATTACTCTGCAACGGTTAATCCTATCGAAAAGTGTTCTATACAAAGTCAACGATGATAAAATTTGGTACAATTTCTGTATAAGTCTACTATTTAATAATTTTTGAGTTTTTCCCTAAACGGCCAAATGTTCACAAAAAATATCACAGTATAATGTCAAACTTCGCCGTTTCTTTTTTTTCGCGCTGTGCATTATCCATGTTTATCATGTTATAACAATTTTTTTATTGATCAATTTAAGAGCGAGTTACCCCATTTTCTCGAGAACGTGCACGTCTTTATTTAATAAAAATTATAACAGTAATATTCAGAACATTCTGTACGACTGTGGCTTAATTAATAACTTTAGTTCTCTGTTTTGAGGCGATTCATTCATATCAAACAAATTTCTACGTGAGACATTCTTCGGACGTATAAACAAACACTTGAAGCTAAAGCTTATTATTACTGAGTGGCCAGTTTTTGTCGTTGGTTATCTGCTTTAAATATATTTGATGTTGTCCGTGCTTGCAATTTGCACCCCCGCGGCGCAGGAGTTGCGGGGGTATTATTTATGTTGTTGGTTTTTACTTTACAGACGTTATCACAAAACAAACATCGCATAATCTGATTTTATAAGTTCTCAAAGAAACGGGATTTGTTGGATTTGGAGTGAGGGAAGTTCTGTCGAAATAAATTTCGACCAATTTTTCTGTTCAATATTAATACCATTATAAAATTTAAAATAAAGATACACAGCGAATATAATCAAAATCTAAAAAAATTGTGTATAAACAATCCTTTATTAAACTCAATGTTCCGCCACTGGTCGAATTCTTCTTGACAGATGGTGATGACTCGCTATGCTTATCTTCGTTTGAGTGTACTTTAACACAGTCGGTGTAGGAATCAGCGCTGGTCCGGCGAAGTTGGGGATAGCACGTCGGTCGTCACAACAAATCTTAAACCAATTTCAGATTTTAAGGGTTAATTGTTTTATGTCCAGGGTTTTTAAGAATTGACATTAGTCACTTGCTTTCCACATTACTGCTTCATTTCAATAACCATTACTATTATTTTGAACAAGAAAATGTCAGTTTACTGCCAATGCGACTAAAATCTCCAGATTATCACCCATTGAACACGTATGGGATCAAATGGGAAACAGATTGTCAGCACTGGAACACCCTCCCATTGACTAACTTTCCCTCCATTAACTAGCGTCTCTCAGATGGCTTGGGATGCCGTTTCATAAATGTACCAAATTTTATTAAAATCTGCCTACTGTTTTGGGTGTTAGTTTCCATTCAACGCAGTATATTTTAATAAGCAATCATTGTGTATTAAAAATGTTTGGAAAACAGGTCGTCATTCATCTCTTTTGTGATTTTATTTTTAAAATTATTAAATACAAGAATTATTAACAATTACTCTTAATCCAGTTGAAAGTTATTTAAAAAAAAATATTGTTACTCTTTGAAAAAATGCAGTTGTATTAAATTAATATGTGATAATTAATTTCATTTAATTGTTTCAGATACGCTGAAGCTGAAGCAGCGTTGCTACATAAAACTAGTGCTACATCAGATAATTTCGACGACATCGCTGCCGAATATGGCGAACAGGCATCATTCGCTTTGTCTTTGTTGGGTAATATAGCAGCCAAAACTGAAAGAAAACCAAGGGCCATAGACGCATGGAGAAGAGCTCTAAAGCTGAATCCATTTCAGTGGTCAAGTTTTGAAAATTTATGCAAAATTGGAGATAAACCGAACCCTCAAAATTTATTCCAAATTTCGGGTATCGAAAATTTGCCGATGTGCCAGGGAAATAACATTAATAATATTGATAGTGTCATTATAACAAATAGTACTCCAAATCAAGATAATCAAGAAGCATACGGTACACCGCCCCAACAGATTATTGTAAATTTTAACCCAACTTTAAATTCGAGCACAAAAATATGTACTCCAGATGAAAATCCTTTGTGCACTCAGCCTGTGTGGCTTTCAGGATGTGTTCCCCTTGGTCCCAGAGTGAAATCAATGAGGCCTCGTATAGAACCTGCTAGTAACGTAAGTTTGAGATATGTCATCACTAGTTCAACGTGACTTTTCAATAATCCAAAATTTCACCATGCGCGAGGGACTGCAGACGTGTCATTAAAAGCAACTTATTAAATGTAGTAATAGTTTTGTCCACTTTGTTTACATTTTAATGCACATTTTTTTACTTTAAAAAATCGGTTGTCTGTAAAGTCGGTTTACTGACGATAGTTGAACGTGACAACGTCTTAAGAAAATACTGATGGAATGGTAGCATTTTTCAAAAGAAAATTTTAATTTCATTTGTTTAATAGATTTGTATGTATATAGAGAAGGAGGTAATTAGAAATCACAATGAAATTGATCAAGTTAGATTTATTTATACGCATAAATACAATTATGTCAATTTTTTTTTACAATTTAATAGTTTTTACAAGTATAAATGTGCGTTGAGCAATTGTTTTACAACTGTTAAACATGTGTAATATTTAATTTCTTGCAATCTGTGTTATTCTGTTGAGAATAGGACGATGATAGGAAAAGTAGGAAATGAAAGGGAGTGTTTCGAGTTTAATGTGTCTTGAAAAAATTGACACTACATTCACTTTTCACTGCACTTGATACTCGACCAAAACATGTAAATGTATAGCAGCTGTCCACGCAGACGCATCGCTCACTCAAGTAGGAGAGAGACGGATGGCGAACGCTGCCGAACGCGAAGGCCGATTGTGCCTCTTTGTCGCTCGTTCCGCGTTCTCGCTTGCACTTCAAGCCTTACATGGAACGCCTCAGAGCGAGGTAACGCCGCATGAGTCATGTTTTTTCGTGCGTGCAGCCGGCTCAATCGAATTATAAGACGTTGTCACGTCAAAAACTTTCGATAGATTTTGTCACTAAGTGTACATAGAGAAAATCCATTTGGGAAATATGAAGAAATTTGTAATAATATTGATTACGAAAATTTACCAAATTTGCTCCGACATATTAGCGTGGATACAAAAAATCATATACCTTAACTAAGATGAACTGTGGTAATTTCTAAGTGTTACATTTCCAATGGCATTTAGTATATTTTCGGAAAATCACCAGTAGACTACATTTTTTTGTGGAGCTTACATTTGAAATCTTTTCTTATATTAAACAGTTTTATGTTTACAATACCATTATTATTACTATTACGCTGCAATTACATACGAGGGTTTTTCAACAAAGACTAGGACTAGTACTATCAAAACCTTTTTATTAATCTTGAACAGTAATACTTAGTAATACGATGCTGTCATTGTTTAAAGACATGATGGAAGCCATTCTTTGAGAGCCTGCTTAAAATCGCCTCTAAAGTCTTAACAGCATCCAATTCTGTTTGAAACCGTCGTCTTTTAAGCTTTTTTTTGCTTGGGGGAACAAATGGAAGTCGCATGGGGCTACATCAGAGCTATACGAAGGATGCGGTATACACTTGATATTTTTTCTGATCAAAAATTCAGTCACAACATTAGCCACGTGCGGACGAGAATTATCGTGATGAAGTTTCCACTTTCCCTTAATTTCGGGTCGTTTTCTAGGAATGTGATCTTTCGTCAACTGATGCAAAACTCCTTTGTAATCATTTGCGTTTACCGTAGTACCATGCGGGACCATATGGTATATACTATACCCTTGTAATAAAAAAATGTTATAACCATACCTTTTGCGGCAGATTTTTGCGCGCGTGCTTTTTTGGGTGGTAGCCCTCCTTTTTCTACCCACTGTGTGCTGTGTTGCTTCATCTTCGGATCATAAAGAAAAAGTTTCTGTTGCAGATTTTCCGAGACGTACGCAAAATTTAATCGCATATCTTTGCTCTTTCATTTCTTCAATGACGATTTTTAGAGGCGCGATAACAATGTTTTAATTTTCGAGCTGTGTCAAACTCAAATAAATAATTTGTGACAAGTGTCATTTTGCACAGTGAAAGAAGCCTACTTCAATAATATTTTCTGCTTTTTAGCCTTTCGTAGCTATTCATGCAGGGCTGTAAAAAAAATCACTCCTGGTCTTTGTTGAAGGGCCCTCGTATGTTACTCTTGTTAAAGTATTGATAATGCGTCACAATTTTTTTTATATAAAAAAACTCACATAAAAGTTACGCAATACGCATAGCATGTAGCGTGCTTCGTTATCTTTACTTTAACACTTCATACATATGTTTATTTTAATTTATAGGGGTTATCACAAAAATAAAATTCCCAAAATTAAATTTTATAATTTTTCGAAGAGTCTGTTTTTTCGACTACTTCAGGGGCGAGGCAAGTTCTGTCTAAATAACCTTAAACCAGTTAAGATAAAGAATAATTTAATCTACTTAATAAATTTTTGAAATTTTGAATACGCAAATGACAACAAAAAATTTTCTTTTTTTTGTGACCTGTGAAATATCAAAAAAACGTAAAATTCTGAATTCCCAAATTTGTTCCGTTGACAGTACTCCTTGTTAGGTTTTGTTTGAGAAGGGAAAAAAACTTGTTATTCAGGGGAGTATTGATGATCATTGATCAGTTTGAATAAATCGACGAGCGCTTGCATAATTTGTATTGAACTCACGTTATCAGTGTTTTAACCTGTCATAAATTCCTTCCAAATTTGCTTCAGCGTGTTCTATCTAAACTTTCATACATTTTCTCGCATTTGGCAAATGTTACGTTATCGTATATACATACAGGTGTCCCGGATGGAACTCCAAGGCCTTATTTATATCTTGAAAGAGAGTGGAAATATTTTATGATCTATCAAAAGCCGTTCAAAAAATATAATATCCGTTCGCAAAACTCCCGCACTGTCAGTGTCAGATTTGGAAAAAATGACCTGAGTGTACTCAGTGGTGAGATGCGAAAAACCTGTACAATATGTTGCAAAATTGCAATCTAGTGACAAATTAGTAACTAAAAATAACTTGTCAAATAAAAATGTCCAAAAGCACATTAATTGAATATTTTTATCAATTCAAGTAAAGAAAGAGTATGACACACGAACGACAACGAAAGCTTTTTTTGAATAATATATATTTTTGACCTTACTGTCCACTTCTACGCTTCTGGTGCTACAATTTGTTTGAATTACTGACAAATTCTTTAAACACATTGAACACTTCAGCAACTCAAAAAGGTAAAATAGTTAATAAACATTTGATTTTTCATTCATTAATTTTGAAAATTTGAAATTCAAGGCGGTAATCATATAAACTTAAAAATCTTTTAGGGGATTATTTCTCATACCAACAGAATGTCATTCTGACAGTGCGGGAGTTTTGCGAACGGATATTACGTTGCAATTTAAAAAAGTACAAATTTCATCAATCATCATATTTCCAGTATACTAAATTAAGCTTCCCCTTTCAAGCTAAAAACGATAGCGTTTACACAATTTCAACATATACCTGTTTTCAAGATATGAGAGTGGAATTTTATATGTAGGACACCTATAAACTAGGAAAACTACTATACTACTTTCTTCCTTAAATTAAAGAATAAATAATAATAATGAAGAACTTACTGTCAGCGGTCTCAGAAAAAATATATAAGTTGAGAGTGGGTGATTGCTTTATGTTTTTGTAAATACACTGACCGGCAAAAAAACCGGCCACCCTAAAAAATTTCGCAAAACCAAACTTTAAAAATTATTAATTTAACTAGTGTTCATTATTTTATTAAAGAACCATTCACTATTGACACATGATTAGAGAGCGGATTTCTGTCGGGCTAGGCAAGGCCAAACTCGGTACGGCTCGTACGGGATGGGAATTCATTGCAGTTACGGGCTGCACTTCGTTTATTTGAGATTAGAATAACGCTGCTTCGTTGCACTCTGCTGTTAATTCCAGTTCTCATTTACTTAGCCGTTTGATTAATAAATCGTTAATTGTATTTATGGAATAAGTGACGATTAAATTTAATGATTATCTATCACCCGCTACTGAGTCCCGGCGATCCAGCGCGTCCCCACCTATAATCGTGACGTAGCCCGACAGAAATCCGCTGTCTACACATGATGTATAAATTAGCAAAAAAAAGAAGACAAACACAGAATTAAATTTCATTTAACAAAATAACAGAAACAGACCGACAATTTGAGAGACGTCTGTAAGTGTTAACGGCATTGTTTTCGGGTGAAAACATTTCTTAACTGCCAAACTTATAATCAAATGATGAAAAAGACTGTTTACAACAACAGCCTCCTTTATTGTTTTAATTAAGAAAATTTCGTACTTGGTCTATTTCTGTTATTTTGTTAAATTAAATTGAATTCTGCGTTTATATGTCTTCTTTTTTTGCTCATTTATACAACATGTGTCAATAGTAAATGGTTCTTTAATAAAATAACGATCACTAGTTAAATTAATAATTTTTAAAGTGGTTTTGCGAAATTTTTCAGAGTGGCCAGTTTTTTTGCCGATCAGTGTATAATTGCTGATATTTTTTCCTGATTTTCATATTTCACTTTTCCGTTACAGGGTAGTCCTCAACCTACTTTTGGACTCTTTTTCGACAACTCCACTACAGACGCGTATTTTGGAACTCCTAATTTAGTTTCACAACCAAAACTCACCGAATCGAATAATCACCATCAGTCACTGGCCAAAAGAATGAAAGCCCAAGTAGATCAGTTAATGAATAGAAAAGAAATTCTTCCAAACTGTAAACCATTGTTTAGTCAGTCAACCAACGTAACGAAGACTCCAACAATACCTCTAACTGTACAGCCTTGTCCAAGGCGAAGTTCTCGTTTATTTAGCAATAGTTATTCAGTCAAAGAAAATACTAAATCTGCTAACCAAAATAAATTTGCTACACCAAAATCGCCGTCAAGAAAAACGAAACGAATTACAAAATGCAATTTAAATAAAAATTCAACGTATACAGAATTAAACACGAGAAATAAGCTTGAGAAAGAGAAAAGTGAAACAGTCACATCTACAGACACAAAAAATGAAAAAAGTGCAATAAGTAATAATAGTAGTAATAGTATTGAGAGCTGTGTCCAACAAGCGATTTTAATGCAGAAGCAAAGTGCAGAGGGGTTAATGTGTCTTCTTAGAAATTTAGGGCAAGCTTATTTAAATTTATCAAATTTTGACTGTAAGGCCGCTATAGAGGAACTAAACTCGTTGCCTCCAAATCAGTTTGAAACGTCGTGGGTATACTGTTTGATGGGTCTCGCTTATTTTGAGCTCTCAGATTATGAATTTAGCATTAAATACTTTAGTAGAGTGCACAACTCGGAACCGTATAGAATACAGTTTATGGATATTTATTCAACCGCTTTATGGCAGTTACAAAAAGAGGTGGCCCTATCAGCATTAGCTCAAGATTTAATAAATCTAAACAAAAATTCTCCTATTACCTGGTGCGTCAGCGGGAATTGTTTTTCACTGCACAAAGAACACGACACGGCTATTAAATTTTTCCAAAGAGCGGTTCAAGTGGATCCGCATTTTCCTTACGCCTATACACTCCTTGGACATGAGTATATTACAACAGAAGAGTTGGATAAGGCCATGAGTTGTTTCAGAAATGCAATTCGGTTAGACTCACGACATTATAACGCATGGTTTGGCATTGGTACAATTTATTCAAAACAGGAAAGATACCATTTGGCAGAAATAAATTACTCTCGAGCACTGGATATTAATCATCAAAGTTCTGTTGTCCTGTGCCATATAGGTATTGTTCAACACGCGTTGAAGCAGACTGAAAAAGCTCTAAAGACTTTCAACGTAGCCATAACAAATAACCCAAAAAGTCCTTTATGTAAATTTCACAGAAGTTCTATTTATTTTGCCTTAGGCAGGCATGCAGAAGCATTAAAAGAGTTGGAGGAATTAAAAGAAATGGTCCCCAAAGAGTCACTAGTTTATTACTTAATAGGCAAAGTTCATAAAAAATTAGGCAATAAGGATCTAGCGTTAATGCACTTTAGTTGGGCAACTGATTTAGACCCGAAAGGCGCTAGCAGTCAAATTAAAGAAGCTTTTGACCCTTCCATTGGAAGAAGTGCTACAGCAGCAGAGTCGCCTGCTTCACCCGCTAATGAAGATTTTCCTTCTGAAAGTACTTCTGGTTTGCAACCGCAAGCTTTAAATTTTGAGCATCTTCCAGACGATAGTGAAGATAGTTTTTAATACTGTGAACACCAATTTCATTCTTTTTTTACAGAGTATTTTTCTTATTTCAAACAAATGTGTGATTAAACTGCGAATTTCAAGACGTTTGGTTAATTTTATCAAAATCTGAGTTTTATTCAACAACAGGTAGATTCATATTTTATTTGCACCTCTAAGTTAACACACTAAATTGTGAAACATGTGTTCGTAAATTATAGATATGTCCTTACAAATATATGTGACATGAGAATTAATGTATGATTTCAGTACTGATGTATATTATAGATTTTATTTAACCTTTTTTAATACGTGTAAATTTATATTATTGTAATTTTGAAACCATAGAATTATTTTTTTATACTGCATTATATTTAGTTTCCTCTTTGTGTAAAAAGTTTGACAATGTAACAAATAAAATATTTACGACAACATACCCCGTTTCGTCGGCAAAAATTTTGTTCTCTAATTAAAAAGTATACTTTAGTGCACAGTTTATTATTACACTTGTTGAATATTTTAATCAATAATACATTTACTTTAATTAATATTTCAAAACTACTGCAAATAAAAAAATCTACATAGTCGATAAACGAAATTTATCAGGTTACAATGCTACACTTATGTTTTTAAACATTTCACCACCTAATAAACTATCTAGCGCTTTTTGAACAGATGGATCTTTCAATAGAGGTGGTGCAACCTCAGATGGCTGTGGAGGCTCTGGTGGTGGCTGATGATCATTTGAGGCTTTATTTAATATATTCATTATACGACTTTGTAATTCAGCCTGTTTACTATTAGATTCCTGTGATGTCTGATCAACTCCTTCATCTACTTCATGTTGATGTTGAACTTCACGCCTTTCTTGTAAATATTTCAACACACGATCATACTGGACTGATGTGATTTGTCTGTTTTCCGCCAATAAGTTCAGAAGTAGCTGAAAAAGTGATTAGTTGTAAAAAAAATATATTGTCTTTTCAAGTTTCATTTCCCTAATACCTGCATTGATGTCGGATGTCTGTCAGATACATTTAGAACTCCACCTGGTCCTAAAGTTTCAACTCCTGTCTTATCGCCCCGCATGTAAGCATCAAAGTTTCTGGTGATTAATACTAAAGCATCTTCAATGGGCATATTTCGGTGCTCTATGTATTGAATTCATTAGAGCATACACTAACTGCAAATTAAAAATGTCTTACCTTGTGGGATACCGTGCAATATATTCAAAGTTAAACTTCTGTGTTCTTCATTTTGTGGCATCACCAAAATAGCATATAAACAACCTCTACTCGAAATATTGGCTAAAACGCGACCAATAGGGACATCCTCATTTGGAAATAGCAAATCAACAATAAGTCCCAGCCCTTTAAGTCTTTGTTCAATATATTCTGCATACTTTCTGCAACGGTTTAATTTGAAACTTTTCAAACATAATAGTATTATAGTATTTGGTGGAAAATATAACTTACGTAAGCAGTTTTGAGACCACAATGATTTCACAATCATTTCTATCTGGTTGATCAAGCACAGGGGGGCGATTGCTGTAATTAGCTGAAGGTGGAACATAATCATCTCGACTGTAGTATGAATCATCTCTGTACATGTCAACAGGCTGTTGAAAGCGGTCTCTGCTTCTCATTCGTCTTTTCCGAGACCTCTTCTCTGGAGGTCCATCATTTTTGGGAACATCATCTACCACTGGTTGTGAATTCTTTGGGGCTATATTAGGTGGGCCTTGTGGTGGAGGGTGTTCAACTGAAGGTTCTTTTTCTGGTTCAGGTTTTTGAAGTTCTTCTGTAAGTTGTGAAAACTGTTTTGGAGGAGGCTGCGATTCATTATGAGTTGAAGGAGGGTTATTGTTAACTTGAGGCGGAGGCGGAACAGGTGGACCTTGGTTTTGGTTTGGCCCTTGTGCTTGTCCTTGCCCTTGATTTTGTATTTGTAACTGTTGTGGGGGTCCTTGATTTATACCCAGACCTTGTCTCCTATTTTGATTGTTTGGATTGTTTGCACCCTTTTGACTCTTGTCGAGGGCCTGTCTTACACATATTTTTCTTCCATGAAGCATTGTGTTATTTTCATTTTTAATAGCAGCTTGAGCTTGACCCTCATTTTCAAATTGAATAAATGCAAATCCCATTTGCAGCACGAGTCCCAAAATTCTTCCATGTATTTTAAATTTTTCTTCTAAATCTGCAGCAACAATAGTTTTTGCAAGACCACCGATGTATACACGAGATGGTGCAGTCGCAGGATTGGTCATAAACTGTTTATCTGTACGATACATGTTGTTCAGATTCTCATACACCTATTTTAATAATTTGTAACTTGCAGAACATGAAAGTTTTTACACACTAAAAGAAGAAGAAACGTAACGACGTGAACAGCTGAATAAATTCACCAACTAGGTTTCTCTGGTATGTAGGTATTCACTAATTGCAAATATATTCCAAATCTATAACCTATAGAAACACAAACTCGAACTGGTTTTGTTTTCTTGGTGTATACATATATTGTTAGATTAGATCAATGCATAAACATTTTTTTCACAATCCTCGGTCACAGAGTCCATAATAATTTTCCAATGTATTTTACATTTACTGTTTACTTTTTAAATAAACAACACAGAAATTAAACAACTAGATGTCCCTCAGCAAAAATTAGACAAGCCAGGGACGCAGAATCATAAGAGGTTCGCAACCGGCTTGGCATAGCAGTTTTGTGAGTGGGAAATTTAAAATTTACCGTTTGATCTTTCTGTTACTATTGTTCCCACAGTTTTTGATGTGTTATTGCAGTTATAATGATACAAAAACAAAACGTTCCTTATGTCAGAGTGCTATTGTGTGCTATTGTGCCCTGACAGTGGAATTAAGTTGGTTGCATTAAAAACGGAACAAGATTAGACTTGTCATTTTACATTTATTTTTCATAGTGTAAATATTAATATGAAATATGTCAATTCTTGTACCGTTTTTAAAGCAACCAATTGTATCTGCTGTCCACGGTTGTACATAGAATAGATAGGTTTGTACCACGGTGGTAGAAGTAAGGTGTGGAAACAAGCCGCTCCAATTTGTTGAATAAAACACGCATCCCAGTAGGCTTATTTACTACGAAATAGTATGCCATGGCCGACTACATCTGACAGTCGTTACCTCCTGTATGGCCGGAACGATTTGATAAAAATTTGAATTACAGGATTACCGACATATGGCAGATTTTTTGCGTCATGCAGCGCCATCTGTTACAGAAATGTAGAATTCAAGCATTGACATTTTTGAAACTTCAAATATTATTTTTGAGTAACGTATAAATATTTTATTAGTTTTAAAATGACGAGAAAGTGTTTTATTTGCAAGAAAACTAATATTTCTTGCTTCGAATTTCCGTCAGAAGCAAAACTAAGAAAACAATGGTTTGAAGCAGTTCAAAATTATTGCGGTATATAAATATAAAACATTTATAACATTCATGTAGTAAATAACTAATCATTTTTCTGTTAGATGCATCAAAAATAAAAGAGCGTACACTAATATGCGCGGAACACTTTCGACCGGATTGTTTTGAAAATTTTGAAAAAGTAACAAGATTAACTAATAAAGCAGTACCTTCTGAATTTGTGAGTATACTTCAATTTTAAATAATTCCAATATAAACCTTTCCTATCTTTTCCAGAACGCTCCTATTGATATTCCCACTGATATTCTTGTTGACACTCCTTCTCAAGAATCTGGTACTCAGACTAATGTCACAGGTACTGAACTTCTAAATTTACAATACCACGTTAAAATTTTAACATCGAAATTACGTACATTAACTCAAAAATATCAAAAATCACTCAAAAAAATTGAAATTTTGGAAGCAGAAAAACAAAAGCATTCGGAAAAATACAAAATTTTTGAAAAAATTAATAAAAACGCTGCCAATGGTGACGAAACAGCAATATTTTTGTTAAATATTTTAACTAATTACAATCGAAAAGTGCCAAGATGGAATGAAACTTCGGTCAGATTGTGTACTGTGTGGAGATTTTGCTCTACAAAAGGGTATGAATTTTGTAGACGAAATTTATTGAAAATACCATCCAAAACAACTATTGCGAGATATTTAGGAAACATTAACAGTTCTAATGAACTAATTAAGCAGAGATTAACAACAGAAGTCTCCAATTTCAAAAATCCCATTGAAAGAGTGTGCTCCCTTGTCATTGATGACATGGCTATAAGACAAAAACTGATCTACAGTCGTTCTGACGATCGACTTTACGGTTTAAGCACATCCAGCAGTAACACAATTGGAGGACAGGTGGAAATTGCTCATCAAATGATGTGTTATGTTGTGCATGGGTTAACGACCAGATTCACGATCCCAGCGGGATATTTTTTCCATTCTTCTTTTACCGCTGAAGAATTTTATTCTTTAACCTTAAAAATTTTAAAACTAGTTACCGATTGTGGATTTTTAATAATACGCATTGTAACGGACAATTTGGCATTGAACGTAAAATTATTTAAGCTTCTTGGAAATGGCACCATTCAAAATGTCATCAGTCACCCCTATTTGTCTCCTTTGCCTTTATTTCTTAGCTTTGACTATTGTCACGCCATAAAAAATGCGAGGAATTTATTCCTGCAAAATGAGATGATGTCCTCTGATGGCGTGATCTCTGCATCATTTTTAACAGATTTGTATGATTTACAAAGAGATTTACCAGTCAAACCAGTGAAGTTCCTGACAAAAAAGCATCTATTTCCAAATAATTTAGAAAAAATGAATGTCCTTAGAGCCATCCAGATATTTTACCCATCTGTAACTGCTGCTTTAAAATTTTTAAATGAAAATGGCCATGAACTATTCCAAAATGTATCTGCAACTACGAAATATTTAGAATGTATGCATCACTTTTTCCAAATACATAACGTTAGCAGCAAAAACCAATATATACGGTCTTTGGATAGTTCTGTGGCACCATATGTCAATGTATCAGATGAGCGTTTACACTGGCTCACCCATGATTTCCCTCAATACATCGATGACATTCAGGTGCAGTCTCAACGAGCTGGTTTGCCTGGTTTATCCAAGGAAACGGCGCATTCTTTAAAATTTATCGCCCGCAGTACGTATCTTACAGTAAAATTCTTACTTGAAGAAGTAGGATTTTACTACGTACTAACACGAACTTTCAGTTCTGATTGTATCGAAGCCATGTTTTCTCATGTTAGGTTGAGAGGTGGATCAAATGATGCCACAGATGCTCGAGCAGCTGAGTATGCATTAAAACAAATTCTTAAATGTGGTATTATCAAAACTTCAAAATCTGCAAATGTCGCATCAAATGTTGATTTCGTTAGTAAACATCATATCCTTCCTTCTACTTCTTCTTCTTCTACGCAAGAACATCATAAACACTGCTCTGATCTTGTATTACCTTTTACAACTTTACAACAACTTCGCAATTTACACAACGTTCAGATGTTAACAGATAATACTGTCTATTCAGCATCAGTGGCTTTTTTGGCGGGCTATATCATAAAAAAAATGAATGATAAATTTAAGTGTGATTACTGCGTGTCTTCATTATTAACTAAAACCATCCCTGGACCCTTATTGCGTTTAATAAATTTACAAGATCGTGGGGGGCTGACATATCCCAATCTCGAATTTGTAGCTGTTTTAAAAGAACTGGCTGAAGTTATACATCTACTAATACCACACATTGAAAAGGAAAATCCTTGCAGTCAGTTAATAGAACTTATCACAGCACATTTAGTACAAAATCCAATTTTTCATTGTTCTACCCATAGGACGCAGGTTTCCCAATTTATAATAAGAACTGCTGCCACAGTGGTCTTAAATAATTTTTGTTCAACTAAAACGGACCTTGTGAAAAGAAAATCAATGCAAAAAAAACCGTTGAGTAGGAAAATATTAAAATTAAACTAAACTTACAGTTTTTGGTTGTTAATTAGTTTTTGTCGTTCATTATTAAATAAAAATTATAGATATACAATTAAATTGCTGAAATAAAATTATGTTTTCTATAATTTGATATTATTACTTAGTTTTTAGTTTCGTTGCGTGTTCGTTGCAACTTGCTCATGATCCGCTCATGATCTATGATGATAGTGACAGGTGACAGATAACTGAGTTAACATTGACAAAACACGACAAAATGATAACAAAGTTTTCTTTTGTAGCTTACACGGGTAGCTCTAGATGGTGCCACCAGGCGCAAATTTTTGACAGATGTTGGTAATCTTCTAAACTAATGGGAAAACATCAAATCGTTCTGGCCATACAGGAGGTAACGACTGTCAGATGTAGTCGGCCATGAGTATGCAGCACAGTATGTCCATCTATGTATTAACATTTCAACTTGTCAGTGTATTTATGAATGAATTAAGTGACAGATTCGTTGGAGGGAAAATAAATCACAGCACAACGGTTTGTGGTTGGTCCTTGGTGTGAATCGTGTGATTGGTGGATGATTCGACATTTGTGATTGGGTAATAAATGACATTGGCATAAATGTCAAAGATTTAATGCAGTTTTCTATTACTTAATTTCAACTGATCTCTCTAGACGTCGCTGCGGTGTGGACAGCGATAAAGTCACTAGATCTACTATTACTTTTAGAAAGTACGGCAAACTGCCTGTGGTCGGAATTCGACAGAGAGGAACCTAACCTATGTGTTAAACAAAGATAGCGCGAGGCTAGTAATTTTCGCTATCAAATGTAGGAACTGTCAACGAAAGTTTGATGTGTTTACGATTTGAGGTTACGACAGACTGTACTAGAATTATCGAGTTAACGGACCGGAAAGAACACTATTCCAGTCCCAAAGTAACTCCAGCCCTATTCAACGAGAAAGTGTCACCGGTAACCAGCAAACAGTCGTGGAAGACGTGTTACCACCAAGGCAATTGATGACCAAATGACAGTAACAGGATCGCCATCCTGGAAGCAAAAAATACCTGCTGTCGAAAAGACGGAGCATAACAAGGACACAGATATATTTCTATTTCATAAAAGTTACTAATTGCCACACATTTCAAGATCGAGTCACATTAGACAGCGAATGACATATAATCCAAACCACGCGATTTGTGTTTTCTACCAATGATTTTGAGGAAAGTTATGAATGAGGTTTCCACACCTTACTTCTACCACCGTGGTTTGTACACTAATGGCTTGGGAATCTTGGGATGGCGACGCTTCTTTTCGATCCCTATATCCATGGAAAGGACACATACAGCTAGCGCCTCTACCTTGTCGAGCGGAAATCATTCTAGTTATTTTGGGGATTTTCGTTTACATTGCTTTATGAACAATACAAAATCACGACCTCAAAATTTGTAAATGACATTTGATCGGAGTCGATAAGTACGATTTCTTTTATTAATTACATCGGTTATAGACAGATGCCTATAGAGTTCTGTGTCCCTAAAACGTCAAAAACCAGGCGACGCGATCGGCAATTGGCGTCGCTTACCAGGGATATGCAAATGTATGCTAGTGTATCAACCTATCTATTCTACAACCGTGCTGCTGTCTAATATCGACTGACTAATCAATGTTTGCGATTTTTTGTCAGATTAGCGACAAATTTAAAATTTTACTTCCCAAACGTAATCGAAGGAAGTCGGAAGGAAGTATTGTAATCGAGTCCATCGGCCGACTCTCTACTTTTACGTTTTCTCGATCTTTCATGACTCCTAGAATACGAAGAAATAGATCTCTCGTTTCCGTCTGTCTGTCTGTCTGTCCGTCTGTCTGTCAGTCCGTCTGTCCATTTGTCTGCCGTCCCGGTTTTTTTCTACTCCTATCATATTAAACTGAACTTAAGAGCATTCCTTCCAGAATTCGTCCTTGAGAACGGACAATTTGCCCTTGCTGTCAACACCTACTCACTTCTAATCGCATGTCATAAAAACGTCCAGCTCACCACCCCTTTAGTAAGAATAATTTATGGATCCAACCCATTGAAAGACACTCATTTCTCTCGGTATCGGATTCTGTATAAATTCTTAACTAATAATTTGTATTTTGCTGTTATTTAATTTTTTTCTGCCAGTGATATTATATAAGTAAAGCCGTTAGGTAATTAATAATTTAAGTGTTAATAATGGTATTAAAATGTTGTATTTTAATTTACTTTTTACATAAATAGTTATTTATGCAACTAGTGTGTAAAGTGTATCTTTTTTTTACGACAAAGACAATTTGCCGCAAGAGCCGAAGGCGAGTGCGCAAATCCGCCGAGTCAAAAAAAAAAATTAATTTACTCACGAGTCGCATACAAAATTTTTTTCGCGTTCGTAACAAAACTCAACACCCACCAACTTCAAAAACTTTTTATTTTGGAGCATAGATATTAAATGTTTTACCGCACTGTATAACACAAATTATACTGTCAAAACAAATTTTTTAAGTGTCTTAATTTCGATAACTTACCTCACTCTAATAAAGAGTAAGTTAGTTGTAGTCTTAAAAAATTGGTCTAAAGAGTTTAAACAGTACTTCCCTCGCTGTCGGAAACGTGACGGCTGCATGCCTATTATGTTTTTTTTCGCAGTAGATTTCAAAGCATTCGGTTTTATGATTCCTGACTAAACCAATAAAATAAATTTACCCATTCATTTTTTTCGAGTCACCCGGTATATGCAAATTCAAAAAATATGAATGGAATGATAAATTACAAGTACAGACTCATCATATTTTGTATATTCTAAATAGGATTTATTTAGCAAAATTTTGTGGTGACGTCATAATTTTTTTACACACACATATCAAGTCACGTATGGATCTCCTTACACACAGTTCCCAAAGCCGTATTTGTGAAGGCACGGTTTTTAAATCAACTCCTAAGTATTTTAGTAATGCCAATTTTGACGTTTCAATTTGGATTTAGTTCAGTGGTAAATATTATTACAACTGCAATAAATAACAACCTTTCAACTTCAGAAAATAAAACAATAACAAATTCGGTACTAAAATCTGCTTGTATGGTTAACACAGAATCCGGTCCGTCCACCTCCAACAACTTTAATAACGAGGCATCTACGTCACATTATAAATCAGACTATTAACTATTCAGTACATACATATTAAGTATAGTGATGAAACTAACGTAAATGTACCTACTCTACCTTTTCATAATTGCACTGTAACTGTAAACAACTACTACCATAAAGTTTAAATGTTGTATTCTACTCATGTTTTGTTATATTTTCTATGACATAAATCTGTTTAAAGTTAAAAAAATCTTCAAATTTGTAATAGAGGGGCTACAGTAACAGCATTGTTTAAGTATATACTTAAATAATGACAATGGTGTGTTAGCTGTTAGTGTGTACTCTCGTTTCGTTTAGAAACGGATATACCTCATAAAATTATATAGGTCCCATGTTACAAGAGACTGATCCTGGATTAACAACCAGGTAAGTTCAAAAGACACTGTAACTGCTTCAGCCAACAATAAGATTTACCGCATCTCCACCCCATCGTCAGGAGCTCAATATTGTCATAAAATTTTATGAGGTATATCCTAAACGAAACAAGTATAGTAGCTGCTGTCTTCTGAAACATGGACGCAGGCCCGGTCTTAGTAGTGCCAAGTAACTACATAGATATATAGTTTTGGAACTTTCATTGTACCCTATAAAATTTTATTGGCAATAACGAGACGGACAGTAGTACAATAGCAAGAGATATTTACAACTTGAAGTTGTCGCGTGCCGGTAATCTCCAGATGTTAGAAAGCAGAATAATCCAGGTTCAGACAGGGACCATCGTTACTCACGAGCATTATTTTATAAGTACAACTACCTGCTAAATGTTCTCCGACAAATTCTGGTGAACTAGTGTGAGCCATGAATATTTCTTATCATTGTACATATTAGTGTCCGTCTCGTTATTGTCAATACAATTTTATAGGGTAAAGTCGCGATCTTTTCTATAGAACCACTCCCTAGTGTAAATTTTCAAAATTTGTTTGGTGTAAGTGACCTTGACGGGTTTCTGGGGGAAAACATATGTGTCAAAAATTTGACAGGTTAGATGGCCCCATTGTCAATGTAGATATTTTATTTTAATAAATAGATTAACAGAACATACAGTCTGCACGGGATACAGTGGCGCTAGCTGAGGGCAACCGAAACATTCGTGTTGTGCTAGTTTCGATTGCGATATCAACTACCGCTACCAACCGCGTTTGGTGTAAAGTACTAGATGACAGGGCTACCAACTTGACTTTTTATCGAGTGGTTCCGTAGAAATGACCGCTACTGTAGAATGAAATTTTCAAAACTATACCTCGAGGTTTTTTTTTAATATAAAACAAATGAAACATTTAAAACTTCTTTATTTTAAAAACTAACAAGTAAAACAAATGCACATAGAATTAAATATTAATTTTGCGGGCTTGCAGTGTTGGAGAATTTTACGAGGGTATATTTGCTGAATTTTCGGTTTTTACTGTTATTTTTTTTTACTCCAAGAAAATTATAAACATTGACTTTGTACTTTTTATTTTCTTACTGGTTTTTTACATGACAATTATTTGTAATAAAAATGATGTGTAGTCCCAGTTTAAATTTTAAAATTTGAATAATTTGAAACTGAAAATAAATTAAGAATGTTAGATAGTAACGTAGACAACCACGTGTACTCTCAGTTAGAGGTGGGAGCTGGTTAGGGTTGGAATGTATGGCAGGTAGAAATTTTGGATTCTATGTGATTTCGCTTTTGAACGTATCGCGTCACGTCTGGTGTAAAAGTGCTTTGTAAACACGTGGTGAAAATAAGGGTAGGTTAAATTTAGTTTGTAGTTCCATAACATCGCAATTGTTTAAACAAAAATTAAACCGTACCGATGCCACAGTTTCCCCCTCACGAGCGAATTTAATTATTATTAATGTTTTTCTAATTTGAATTGTGCAGTTCCGCTGATGTCTATGCGTGGTGTAATTTTTTTTTATTGTTTGTAAATTCACAGCTCATTTTAAGTTCCCGATTCCAACACAATTTTTTGGAGGAATAAACAGATATATTTTGATTAACACCTTACCATGCTTACACTAAGTTTAAAAAGTCTGCAAGATTTCAAAGTATTCAGTTTTGCAATTCTTGATTTATTCAATAAAATAAATTATTATAATTATAAAAAATTGGTCTAAAGAGTGTAGACAGTACTTCCCTCGCTGTCAGAACGTGTATAATATGTTGCCTATGCAAAAATTGTCAGGCGTGAACAGATAAAATGAACATCCTGTATAGTACTTGTAATTTAAGACAAATAGCCATAACACTGATATCAACCTGTAGACGTGACGGTGAAACACAAACTAAACTAAAATATGACAATGCCAACGGTTCAGATATTTTTATTGCTCTGACTTGCGTTTATTGTATAAACTACTACATTTTATTTGGTTTTTGGATGCTGTAATTCACATCTGGTTAATGATAACTTGTCTAGATCTAGGGGAGCATCCCCTAGCCTCCCCCTAGCTACGGCCTTATGAAATATCGAGAAAATTTGGCTTCACAACTACATCGTCTCGCCATCGTCCCCAGCTTCCGGTCACTGTTTTGTCTAAATGCTTATATAAACTATTTTGCCTGAACGTGTGAGGTCGCCGATAAAGACAAGACACTGTCAGTAGTGTAACTGAATATACACGCGCCCTCCGGAAAGTTAACAGACAGACGGAAACGGGGTCATAAAAGGTCCAGAAAACGTAAAAGTAGAGAGTCGGCCGACGGATTCGAGTACAATACTTCCCTTGTACTTCGCTCAAGAAATAAAAAAATGTTAATGTTTTTAGACATCGGAAGGTCACCTAGACATTTGTATGATTTGAATATGTTCATCTCCTCAAAACAGATGACTAAAATTATTCATTAACCTCAATTGAACAAAATTTTCTGAATGTTATTATTATAATTCTTACCTTATCTTTATTTTATTGTTATAAATATGAGCGTATTCTCACAGTTTCGAGAAAATCGGGTGGTTCGTTCTTAATTTGATCAATAATAAACTGACTGATTCATTTTTTTTAGTCACCCTGTATAAGCAAATCAAAAATTTTGAATGAAATGATAAGTTACAAGTATAGTCTGATCATATTTTGCACATTTTCGAAAGAATTTATTCGGCAAAATTTCGAGCTGACGTCATCAATTTTTTGGAGGGGACAAGCAAATATATTTGACTAAACATTTATTATGCTCTTTATAACCTTAAAACATCTGCAACATTTCAAAGCATTCGGTTTGGTAGTTCCTGATTAACTCAATAAAATATATTCACGCATTCATTAATTTTTTTAAGTCACAAATATGCAAATCCAAAAAATATTAATGGAATGATAAATCACAAGTAGAGACTCATCATATTTTGTACATTTTAGATAGGATTTATTCGGCAAACTTTTGAGCTGACGTCATCAATTTTTTGGAAGGGATAAGTAAATATATTGTGATTAGAATTTTATCATGCTTATCATAACTTTCTTAATTTTTAATTTTTTCCCAAAAATCTGGACGTTTCATGTAACATTTCAATTCGCAGTCATAAACTACATGTGTAAGACTAAATATACTACTTTTTTTTTGTATTTTGAGACTCGTGGACATAACAAATAAGAAGAAGAAATGTCTTCTACGTCGACAGTTTTGCAGTTTATTTTATCGCTTTTTCAAGACGTCTACAAGTTTTGAGATTACATTAAATTATATTTAAATTATACATATTATATGACTTACGCAATTATAACTACCATTTGCGTCTTAACTTAAAAAACGATGACGTGAGAAATGATACCAACCTAATTAAACCTAACAATATTTTTTTATACACTAACCTTAGTAAAGTCTAAATTTTACACTTGTTATAATTTCACAACTATATATGTTCATATTTTAAATTAAAAACCAAAATTAAAAATTACATAAACTATTAAAATATTATTACTAATTGTTACATTTTAATCTCCTAATAAGCAAATTATATACTGAACTCAAGTTCTGAGTGTCTGTTTTAAAATTAAGACTATCAATTTTGTTTATGAAAATCATCTCACTTAAATTTCTTTTTAACCTAACACTCTCCCTATTTAAAATTATCGTTTTATCAAATCTAAAATGATGGCCTTCTTCAAAATGATGTGTGGCAAGTGCCGTTCTATTGTCCTTGAATTCATTATGTTGTCTACAGTCATTGATATGCTATCTCACAACTTGTAGACGTCTTGAAAAAGCGGTAAAATAAACTGCGAAACTGTCGACGTAGAAGACATCTCTTCTTCTTATTTGTTATGTCCACGAGTCCCGAAATACAAAAAAAATAGTATAAAGTAAAAATGGACGAGAATAAAATTATGGGTGTAAGACTATGTTATTTAATACAATTTAAAACCCAATTACTATGTACAATTTTGAAGTGACGTCATCACATTAGTGGTGGGGATGAATAGACAAATTTTGGTTAGCGATTTACCGTGGCAAACTAGCTCAAGTGTCAACGGATAACAATACGTGCTGTAATATCTCTTGTAACTCTTTCAATAGTTACTTTACTAATATTTGCTCTAATACTGCTGTAAATAAGGCTAGTTCTGAGTTACCACAGGGCAGTAGATCAATCTATACTGATAATGATGATCAAGCAACTACATACTATTCCTAATAAGTCTAGTTATAGTCCTCGTTGTCCCAGCGATGTAATTTTTAAATTTCGCGCTGTTTCTGGTGTTAGGTAAGGTCGATACTGGAGAGTCTTAAAAATAGTAAATCAAACTATATACACAACATTAATGCTGATAGTCAAAAGCGCCAAAGACTTATTTAATTTCACCACTTACCAAACTTCTTAACTTATGTATCTCTCACTCAGTCTTTCCTGAATGGCTTAAAATCGCTATTGTTGTGCCAGTCCACAAAAAAGGTAATACCAACGAACCCTCAAACTATCGTCATATTGCTATTCTACCTGTATTTGCTAAGATTTACGGAAAAATACTGTATGAACAACTTAATTCCTACTTTGAAAGCCATAATCTTTTTAGTGAATTTCAATATGGATTCCGGAAAAATCGCTCCACTATCGAGCCTGGTCGACTTCATCACCAATTGCTTTGAAACTAACCATATTGCTGCTGCCACCTTTTTGGCCCTCTCGAAGGCGTTTGATTGAGTATTTCATACCCTCCTATTGAATAAACTTGCTTTGTATAACGTAGAGCCGAAGAGTATTTCTCTAATCGAATCTTACCTTTCCAATAGGTCGCAAGTTGTGCGATTTCAGAATAACTTTTCGAAACCTCTAGCTATTAATAGGGGGGTTCCGCAAAGATCTATCCTCGGCCTTCTACTGTTTTTGATCTTTTTAAATCACTTACCCCTCCACCTAAGTTCAAACTGCACGCTATACGTGGATGATACTACACTTATTTCCAGGGCTGAGGACCTACAATCAGCAATTGTTAGTAATAGGGAGTCTCGGTCGGAAGCTTTTGATTGGTTCCGGGAGAACGAACTTCTTCTGAACACCGAAAAAACAGTTAATGTCCTTTTTCTCATTAAAAAAACGAACAGTGGACTTTTCATACTCAGAAATTTAAAAGACATTGTTCCCACTATGGTGCTTAAGGCTGGCGTCTGGTTCGGTTTAGCCCTATACTAAATACATTGAAAACATCGTCGCGGTTTCCGGAGTTGCATTTTAAAAGTATGAGATATATCGCTTTAAAAAAATTATATTTCGAATTAACAAACTTCAGTCCAGGGGACCTCCATATTTATATTCATATCTAGTATGCAGTTTTTACAAAAAAAAATTATAAAGTTGAACAACTTTTACATCACATTTTAACCGGTACATTGATGCATTTTTTGACGAAGTGCTGAAGTTTTTGGCATTCTGAGATAGGAGGTCCCCTTGGGAAAAGTGTCAGCTTTCTTTTGATACCATTTATAACATTAAAAAATCCACGACTGAGGTAAATAACTCGCGAAAAGTCAAAATCTATTGAAACGAGAAATCGGCATTAAACGAGCTGTGATGCGGTAGCAGAATGCAGGTTTACTTAGATTCTGACTTGGTTGGAGATTTCAGTATTTTAAAAATGCAACTCCGGAAACTACGACGATGTTTTCAATGTATTTAGTATTGGGCGAAACCGAACCAGACGCCACCCTTAAATCAGCTTACTACGCTTTATGTGAATCACATCTCTTGTATGGTATCCTCGTATGGGGTCGCTCTAGCATACGTCATCACCTATTCTCCTTACAAAGAAAAGCAATGCGAATCTTAGCCAATATTAACTATAGGGACGATTGTAAAGAGCAATTTAAGAATCTCCAAATTCTGACCTTACCATGTATTTATATACTTAAAATTTCCTTTTAGGGAAAGCATATTACGAGTTCTCAGAGTTCATTAATGACGATTGCACTTTTTACAATTCTTGAACTGTAATTCTAATTTGTTCATATGTTTTCTGTATGTTGTATTTTATACTTTGTATATTTTGTATATTTTGCATATTTGTTGTGACTTGTACGACTAAACCTTTTGGCGATGTCCCAAATATAATATCATTAATAATAATAACATTAATTAATATTATTATTATATTAGTCCAGCAGTTTCGGAGATTACGTGTCTAATAAAAATGGATACAGACACCAGACAGACAGAGGGACAGACAGACAGACAGAGGGACAGAAACGGGTGACTACTTTTTTCGTACTGCAGGAGTCATGAAACGTCGAGAAAACATAAGAGTGGCCACTCGGCCGATAGACTCGATTACTACTTATACTTCCTTACTTTACGTTTGGGATTTCGGGTAGTCAAAAACTACTTATTAGTCTAATAAAGTTTTTACGTTGCGTGACGTCGAAACAAAAAAATTACGGAAAAATTTTAATATTTGGCAGCTGAAAACAGCAGAGAACCTCTACGGGAGGCGACCACTGATTAGCAGATAAGCAGGATAAGAAAATCAGGGTAATATTATGGAGAAGGTGGAGAATATGAAATTTTAATGATTTTAGATTTGGGTCTACGTATTCCGTTCGTTTTGCGCAACTGCACTGTGTTACGCTGCCGACCTGCCGACTGCGAATTGCCGAAGCGCCGATCGCCGAAGCCTAAACTAGCGAACGCGAAGTGATGTGCTTAAAAAAATCAGCTGTGTTTCATACAAAACCCCATTTAACTATAATATTCCGGATGTGAATTAAACTGCCTAAGCAGGAAATAATGTTAGTAGAACATTAAAATATCCGACTAATGGGCTTATGATTGTTACATTTGCCCTTGTTTATTTGCGGTGTTGTGGTTATGTGTACACTGTCATTTTAGGTATATGTAAACTCTAGTTCCTTCTGCAAATTTTTAATTTAGAAACCATGGATCTGGCGGAGACAATGAAAAATGTCTTGGCGAAAGGAATACAACAGACCAACGTTAATGATTTGCCAACATCAACGGGCATGGGCTTTCCTGGTACAGGTTATGTCACCGAAAAGTTGTACATGTTGCTACAACTATATCTCCAAAACAAAGGATGGAATTCATCAGTTGAACTCCTACAATGTTTCTCAGAACTGAAGGAATCATCGATGCTACCAAGTGCTGCTTATTTACAGTTAGTATTACACCAACATTTATTTCTAATTCATTAAAACTTTTGTTTTATCATTAGAATGATGGCATCTAGAGTGACTTTAGATTCGCAAGGAAGGCTAATACTACGTGAAAACGGCAAAATAATACTACCCTTCGAACATTTTGCGAATGCTGTAATGCTGAAACATATGAATGGTCCTCATGGTTTACATCTTGGTGTTGAAGCCACAGTTAGAGCAGTAAGTATATTATGTTGTTATTTTGTTACGTCATAAGTTAGAAGAATGAAAAAATGGTAAAAAGTATGTAATGATATTAATTTTTATTTATTTAGTTATTTATTTATTGAATATATGTAATGCATTACATAGCAGAGTCTACTTAGTCATAATAGGTGTTCCATCTCTAGTAATATTTAAAATATGGGTAAGAGTAAAATGGTCTAATGTTTCATAACCTGTATTTGAGGTTTTTGCAAAAATACCTCAAACGTGTAGTAATCTGTATCCATCATACTGAGAAAACAGTTGAAACTACAGTGACCTCAAATTCCAAATTAATCTTGGAAATGTGATTAGAAGTTGTCTCACTTTTAAAAATGAGCATTTTGAATTTTGGTACTGAACTCCTAGGCAAGCGAATATAGCCTAGAATCATGGATGAATGCAATAACAAATCTTTTTCATTTATTTATTCACTTTTCCAATTCATCAGATACTAAATCACTGCAAATCTTTATATATAAAAGGCAATGTCCCGACTGACCTATCAACGCCCAGCCCAAACCGCTAATGCTAGAAAGATGAAATTTGGAGAGAATGGTCATTTTATACTGGAGGCGTCGTTTAAGAAGGGATTTCTCGAAATTCAGCCCCTAAAGGGTGAAAAGGGGTGATAAAATTTGTATAGGACCAACATGTCTCCTGTAAATTTACATCATTACGTGAAACCTGATACATTTTAATTTTCTTCAATACAAATAAGGAAACACTTATTTAAGCATTTTCGGAGATTCGACCCCTAAGGGGGTGAAAAGTGGTGTCTAAGTTTGGGCGGCTAAGTTTGTATAGGAACAATATTTATACTATAAATTGAAATTTTTACGTGAAACTTGGTATTAATGTTCTTCAATACAAATAATGAAACCCGTCTTTAAGCATTTTCTAAAATTCAACCCCGAAAGGGGTGAAATGTGGAGGCCAAGTTTGTATGGGAAAATATTTCTACTGTAAATTTTTACATGGAACTTGAATTAATACTCTTCAACACAAATAATGAAAGACGTATTTCAGATTTTTTTCGAGATTCCACCGTTAACAAATTTTTTTTTTTTTTAGTAAATACGTTGGGTTGTCTACAGTTCTTGTCCCAAAATTGATAATGTTTATTTTAAATGTCCAAGCTTCTTCTCAAAACTGAAATAATCGTATGAAATTTGTAACATTAACTTAAAATATGAGATTTCATAACTGTGAAATATTGAAACGAGATTAAACAAAACACTTATTAATCAAGTGAATATATTTATATCTTAAATTTTGTCCAGTGGACCTGTAACAGTTGAATAAAATTAAATTACGAAGTTCAATGCAAACTAACAAAATTAGTAACAGTAACTCAAATGGAAGCACTTTTTTTACAACTTATGCAAAAAAGATTATTGTTTCTGGGATACAACGGCACAAAAATTGCGATAGGTACGTAAGAAAAATACCCCGAAATATTTAACAATTCTTGTTTTGCCACGAAGACTATTTGTAGACGCAAAATAATCACACCAACTATACTATTGTATATTTAGGTCTGTTTCTCCCATCAATGAAAAACATTTTCGGGTCCAATTTGGAATTTTGTTACGTAACAGGCAATAAATTTTGTCTTAACGAAAGAAATAGTTGAGAATTCCGGCGAAGTCGAAAGTGTTGCGCCAATATTATTTCTGAGCAGACTTGATTTTATAGAATTTATATCAGTCGGTCTGTTTCGCATGTAGTGATTTTGAGTTAAAGTTAACCAACCAGTTAAAGTCAAACAGTCTATTTATTGTGAGATATAAATGTTTTTTTTTTTTTTTTTGTAAAAACATTTTCTTCACTACAATCGAACTTTGTATTTATAATAATTCCTACATAATTAGGCTTTGTGGACTTGCCCTATTTATGAACTATAGAGGTCGTCCACAAAGACCAACATTATGTACTAGTTACATAAATCGCCTATATGTACGTCCGTCTTTGCACTGACATCAACAGTCGTTCTACAACGCTGAAAATTCACTCAATAAACGTATTCTCTAGCTTTTTGTTGCTACATTTCGCAAACCGGTTTGCGACTTTAGAAATAGACCATCATCGGGCTACACATAGATACAAAATAAATAAACGGATGCAATGCACCCATTAAACTTCTAAAACACAAAATTAAAATTCGGTTTTTTTTTTCAATTACGTTTTGACGATTTCACATATAACAGAATTCTACAGTGTGTGTATGTATAACTTGTGTCTACCTTCAACCTAATAATGTCCCGTTAAGCCAAAAACCGATTTGAGACATAAACACAAACTGATTAAAAATAAATATTATAAGAGCCTGGAAAGCATTCCCAGCTATACAGCGGTAACTCGATAAATCTTGTAATAAAGTATTTATCAAAAATCATATCTTACAAAGGACTGCTTCTAATAACATGTATATGATACTCAGAAATAAATACTCGCCATAAATGTATATATTTTTAAAATTGTAATTCTAGTGTTTTTTTTAGCAACTTTCATGTGTTTAATAGTATTATCAATCAAAAAGTAGCGTGTTACCGTAACACCGTAAAATATGTGAAAATTCGTATTATACGGTCATTTTAATAAAATTATGAGTGCAAATTAGTGTATACACATCTACAGTTTTCAACATTTGAAGGTAATGGACTCATACACAATTGGTAGAGAAAATTTTGGGATGGAAAAAGAATTTATAATAGAAGTAGTTCAGAATTGCCCAAATCCTGCATGCCGTTATTACAAAAATCAGATGGAATTAACCCAAAAAACTCTACAGCACCTTACGGCACCGTCTTACCTAGGAGATGCTCAAAATAATCCTGATCTACGTAACCGTAATTTTTGAATTCTTTGTTTTAAAAGTCCTGTATAAATAAATGTATTTTTAGGTTTAGGTGCAGTTGACTTAACAGGTCAAAATAATTTAGATTCAAAAATAAGTCAACAGTTGTTGGATAGGCCTAAGTCTGTGGCGCCTACTCAGCAGCAGATAACCGCCGCACTGATTCAGCAACAAAATAGGGTGATTGCCCAGCAAAATATTGACAAGTTAAATGCAAATTTAGAAAAACAAAGGCAACAAATGCAGCTCCAGCAACAAATGGATATGGCTAAAGGGCAGCAAAAGTCTCATTTTGATTTACCTATAATGGATCATAAGTTAACTGATTTTTTGAGAGCTAATTTAGAAAATCTAGAAGGTATTCCACATTGTTAATCTTATTTAGTACTTTGGAAAAAATCGACTTGCAGGTTTGTCAGCAGCTAATAAAGATTTACTAGCCCTACATAATGGTGCGTGGACTTCGGCCTCAAGTTTAAGTTCTTCAACTGACGACAAAAGATCTTCAGAAGGAGGTCAAGAAAAAATTGTTCGAGCCTTTGCAGAAGTGATGAAAAATATGCAAAGAATGAAAACTTATGTGAGACCCGCAATGTGTAAGCCGTATGGCAAACAATCGGAAGCATTGCAAAAGAGTAAGTTTGAAAATTTAACAAATTCGTCTGAAGTATTTATGTTGTACTGTTATTTCATCCGTGATGACACTGCCGAGGTGAATTCTTGAGAGCTCCTCAAGTTGAGCTTTCGAATTATGATTTTTTAAAACTTTGATCTTATCTGAGCTTAAAATTGGTTACAACATGAAGTATGTGCAAGTGTGGGTTGTATGAAGATTTTTTATTTTTAGCCTTAATGGATACAATTCAATTAATACAGTCTTTACGAAGTTTCTTGCCACCTCCTCATATTCAAGTGAGTTCGTGGAAAAATGAAGATAAACATCGATATGAGGAAACGTAAGTTTTTGTTCATATTTATTTAATGACTTAATATAACACATGACTTCCGAGATTAAATTATCCTTGTAAAGGATATAAAATAGTGTGAAAGTATTTTGTTCCTTATTTTATATTTAATGTAAGTTTCTATATTGTGTTGTTTTTTATTTTTTAAATTTTTATGAAAGTTGTTGAAATTATGATAAAAGGTATAAACGAAATTTGATTATACGCTGGTGTGTAATTATCAGAGGTAATCATTTCATTACAAAAGTATTAATTGAATCTGTAAAAACTTCACAAGATGCTTTCTGTTTTTTTTTTTATATTATATTGATTAACTCTAAATTTTCCTAGAATTCAAAAAAATGAAAATAATAACTCAGTATTTATTGACTTATGCTATAAATTATTATAAGAAATCATACGCTCCTTGATGTTTTTACAAGGTAAAAAGTTTAAAGTCGTTGCACAATGAAAAAAACCCGAAAAAAATGTTTTAACGGAATACCAGTAATTTCACCTTTCTTAGGTTGTTAGCTGGCTAATTGACATCAAAGTTGACATTTGAATTTTAAAATCCCACAGACAAGAATTATTTTTTCGCCAACAGTTTGGGTTAAACACCCTTTTGGGTTTGTAACAATGTGAGGTTAATAAGGTTAAAACGCAGTTTAATCAGAAATTGCTATGCAACGATTGGATTAATGATTTAAACAAACTTCGGTTTATTCATTAAAATCATAGATTAAAATTAAGGAAAATTATATTTTACTATTTATAGAAATCAAAAGTACAATTTATTGGATTTGAAATCGTACACGAACCAACGTCTAAGCTAACAGGTCCTTCATTTGTTTATGGAATGTTTATGGAAGGTCCTCCATAGATGCTGTGAGTAACAGAGAATTTTCTACATAAGTTCGACTATCTTGTCAGATCGCCGTCCACCCAGTTAGTTCAACATTCTTATCCCGCTTTCAACTAGTATGGTTGCACATTTTACTAAATATAATAATTTTACATACAATAGCCATTCACCATTTGAGACAAGTGTATCATTACGAGTTTTTCGTCGCAGTTGTCAATAATTTCTTAGAGTATAATAAAATTTAAGGAATCCGCAAGATTATGTCATCACAACATAGTTTACAATCAGGGCCGAATTTAATTAATACAGCTACTACGCAAAATCCAATCTGGTCTCCATTTCTAAATTTGCTTTTCTTGATTCTGGAATATTTACAGGTAGACTTTTTAGTGTTTTAACATCGTGTATCGTCATGAAATGTTTGTGAGTGTATCTTAATTGTATTTTAACGTGGTAGAGTTTAAAAGTATATTCTAAAGTTTTACTTTTGTGAATCTTTAACGAGATACTACATACAAAACGTGGATATGACAATGTTAATGTCGCAATGGGGGGACCTAATAAATTAAAGCAAGTTAACGGTTGATATAAAGCTCAGTGCAAACTACTTAATATAATCGCGTATGTTGGTTCTCAGTGGATAAAAGAAATAAATTATACATGTACAGAAAGATGTGGAATCATTACGACAGTCAAGTCTTTAAAATCCCCATGAAAAAATAAATATCGAAATATTTTTGCAGTACACTGCGCCATATTACTTCAAATGTTTAAAAATCTAATGGGGCAGTAACAGTAAAGTGAAATATATTTAACGCCATAATTCTTCACTGTAGGAGCCAAGTGACTTCTTAGAATAATTTGAGTAACGTACGGTAGTTATAAGATGTAATCATAAGAGACTAGTGGTAAATAGATTTTACCATTTTTAACAAACACAAGAACTAAATGAAAGTTGGTATTGATAGTATTTTTCCAGCTGCAGCTCTCTTTTATAGTTTTTTTTTTTTTTTTTTTTTTAATATATATTTATGTTTTATGTGATACCAGTGTACTTAAAAACCAAACATTTTGAGATTTTCTAAGGAGATTTGTTTACGTTTTCGTTCGAATTTTTATTTGTCAATAAAAATTCCAACAGAATTGTGTTTGCTCTGTTAATTATAAGTTGCGTGGTAAAAGATTGGTGAAATAGTTCTTAATTTGCTTTAAAATCCAATTGTTAAGAGAAAAAATGAAAAATTGTATTATTTACAAATTCGTTAGTTCAATTTGGAGACTGATAGGACTAAAGTTTATTTAATATCATTTTTGTATGTTGTTTAAATCGCAGTTTAAGATAGGGACAATGTAATAAGCAGTAGTTTTTGCGTTATATTGTACATTTGACATTATTTATAAGTGCTTTTTTTAAGTAATGAAATTCTTGCAACACACTACGAAATTGCTAGACAAATTTTCTGTAATAGATGATGACTTCTGTATTTTGTTAAAGAATCTCTTGATTACTGTGCATAACCAAAAATTAGGAACGTTACGTTACTTCGTTTTTTTGTTTCTAAAAACCACTGCTAATTAAATTAATATTAAGTGTGTACATCGCCTAATAAAAAAAACTGTATTTACCTAACGAAACGTTACCTATTTGTATAATATCTTAATGCGTGTATGTATTGCAAGAATTTTGGCGATTCTTAAATCAAAAGAATCGTTTTACTTTGTGTATAAACTCGTCGATAAAATATGTGCGGCTAGTTATCCTACTTGGTATTAAACCTGCTAATGGCCAGGCTACAATATCTGAGGATTTGAGACAAAAATCTAGTCATTTACTACTAAATTTTCGAATAAATCCAAAATTTTAGCTGTGATATTTTAATTGGCCATGATATTCTAAAAGTCATAGTTTCTCATTCCAGTATTTACGTGTTTCGAAACCAAATTTTGTATTATTGTATTTCACTAAGAATTGTGACTGGACAGAGTATTCAATCAACAATTTGCATATCATATTTTATTTATTTCTTTAAAAATACTATTGTAGATCTGAGCCAGTATTTCTAAACAAGTTTTAAGACTGTTGTGAAATTATCATTCTTAGTTGTATAAAATATAGCATTTAAGTGGTTTTGTATGTTGTCACAAATAGGATTTACCTCTAAGGCTATAAAATATAATCTTGCCAATATTACTTTAAAGCTTAGCTTTATTTGTTTTAATTATTTAATGATTATGTAATAGTTAATGGATGTGATGCTAATATTGTTGAATATTTTTTTGTTGTTTGTATTAGGCTTTTGTGCAATAAAATAATTTAAAAATATTTTTACAATATTTTTCTTGCCTAACACATTTTGTAAATTTAAATCTTCAATTATAAGAAACGTCAGGAAGAATAACGTCGTCCCTAAGTAAGTTATTGCTAATGAACGACAGGTTCAAAGTAGTGATTGTGATATATGTAGTATTGTAGATCAGTTTGATAAACAGTGATATAAAAATATGTAATGATTTGCTTTTTGGTTCGAATTATCAGATTTTTCGCCATTGCGGAATGTTGCAAAGGGGCAATGATCGATATCTAGGGAGCTTTCTTGTGACACCAGAAATAATTTTATTCAGCCTAGATCCTAGATGATATACTGCACGCTCTCTAGCATCCTAGAATATTCCCACCGGTTATTCAGGTATCTACTTTCCCGTAGAAGTTGCGACATCTAATATATTATATCCAAACATCTTTCACTTAAATGCCATTTTCAGTATAGATTTCTATTTCGAGAACTTTGTTATTCCAAGGCTTCAGTAGGAACCTAAAATATTAGCTAATGCTTACTGTTTGATTGTTAGAGCACGAGTTAGATACTTACGACAGTTTATATTCCTATATTAATATTGGTATGTACTCATAGAGGCCGCCCGAGAAATTTCTTGTGTGCTGTTAGAATATTTATCATTTAAATTATTTCTTGTATTATAATTAAAAACACAAATATTTTTGCAACATAAAATCTGAAGTAAAATTTACTGCTACTGTTTTTATATTCTATCTTATTAAATTACTTTTGTATCTTATGTCCAAGCAGCCTAAAAAATTACAAAAGACGTTGTTTTTAGATAGTTCAAAATGTCTTTCTACTTCTGTACCAGGACGTTTGACACACGAAAAAATCGTTGAGAATCAAATCAAGAATTGCAAAACTGAATACTTTGAAATCTTGCAGACGTTTTAAAGTTATTGTAAGCATGGTAAATTGTTAACCAGAATATATGTTTATTCCCCCAAAAAATTGATGACGTCATTTCAAGATTTTGCCGAACAAATTCTACCCAAAATGTGCAAAATATAAGTTATTACTTGTGAATTTTAAGATTTGCTTAAAGAGGTGGCTCAAAAAAAAATGAATGAGACAATTTATTTTACTGATCATTAAATCAGGAACGGCTCACTCCATTTTCTCAGAAAATTTTGAGAATACATTACTGTTATTTTTAGTATGATGAGTCTATACTTGTGATTTATCACTGCATTAATATTTTTTAGATTTGCTTATACGGGGTGTCTGAAAAAATTAATGACTGAGTCAATTAATTTTATTGATTAAATCAAGAATTGCAAAACTGAATACTTTGAAATTTTGCAGACGTTTTGAAGTTATTGTAAGCATGGTAACTTTTTATTTATCACTGCATACATATTTTTTAGATTTGCTTATACGGAGTGACTCAAAAAAAATGAACAAGTCAATTTATTTTATTGACTCCGTTTTCCCTGAAAATTTTGGGAACACAATATTGTTATTTTTAGTATTACACTGCACCAATCCAAGTTGATATATGTGTCGTTGCAATGTTGATGACGTCATCACAAAATTGTGTAAAGAAAGTTCTGTAGAAACAACTTTCCACCAATTTTTGATTAATGTATTAACATATGGTATATAACTTTTAAGTAGTAGTGAGACGAGGTGGCTGAAGGAGGGGACAAAACCCTGAACTGATACCACTGATGAAATAAATAATACTCCTAATAAAGAAATTTGGGAGATTACTGCAAACTTAACTTAAGAAAACACGCGGTTTTTGACCAAAAAATAATAGGAGTAGATAATAGCAAGAACGGTATAAGAAACAAAAAAAAGCTATGCCACACTGGAACGTGCGCCATTTTCTCTTGAAAGCAAACACGCTACGGGAAAAGCAAAAATAATCTTGTACGAACATTACTTATGCTAATGGAAAAGGTTATTGTACAATTTCGATTTTTTTGCGAAAATTTGGATGCCTCGGGTAAAAAAGAATAATATTGGGCAATTTTCAAGGAAATTTGAGGATTTTGCAGTTCTCGTTTGAAGCGGGCTGATCGTCTAGAATAAGTCCTAGCATAGGTTGATAGATGCTCATTTTGCGCCAATAGATCATACAATTATTTATATTATTTTACAATTATTTGTATGATCTATTTTGCAACTGAAGGTGACTAATTTCTTGAATTGTTTTCCGCCTTCTGATAACCAATATGAGTTTGATTTTTGTAGCTTTTTTTTGTTCCAGCTGTGCCATGTACTTATGAAAATGACGCTCAGAAGTAAAAAATGTAATAAAACAATTAGCAGACATGACGATTATATCCATTGTTAGAAAAACTGTGCCGGTATTTATCACACTACTTGTGTTAGGATCGATAGATAAGACTGCGTTTAAAACTCTGCAAGAGTTACGGAAATTAAGTAACTGGTGTCGCGAAAAAAAAAAAGATTCGAGTATGCAAATGAATTTCTCAATCAAGTATCAAACAACGTTTTTTCGAAAACTGCAGAGCTCCATATTAACGGAAACTCAAAAAAGAATTACGAGAATCCAATAAAATCAAAGCAAAGAAATCAAATCAAGTAAATTTTTGAATCAAAACGATCCATAGCAACGTGGCAAACAATAAAAACCAGTTCTTTTACGTTCTAGAACGAAAAAGTGTTTCGCGGTGGTGTAACAAAAATAAATTACTTTGCCCACTAAAAATTTAACGAAAATCTCAACATTAAATGATAGTTTTCGAAAAATGTAATTAACTAATTATTAATACATTTAAAAATTTACCAATCTACAAGCACCACTTTTTCCGACTTTACAATGTCATTCTTGAACATTTCGCCTTTCTTGGTAATCAAATATCACATTTGCAGTAACAAAAACTCTCTGCTACGCGATAAAATTTATATACTCACCGGAAAACCGGAAACTCAAAAAGTCGTCACACTCTCTCAAATTTTAACATTTGGAAGTGCATTCGTTAGTTCAGCAACAATGAAGACCGCTGTTAATAAATTTCGGAAGACTGGCATTTGGCCGCCTAATCGAGAAGCAGATTATTTAGGCTCTGCTACCACTGAGATAGTAAATGTTGAACCAGGAAATGGACCAGAAGAACCATCAACAACTTTGGAGGACACTCGGGCAAGAACTCCTACAGAAATGATATCTTTTGTTGTTAGAGAAGCTAAATCACCAAGGTCACAAAGAATTGCATTTGATATCTTAAATCTTCAGCCGCAATGTTCTTTTTGGGACAACAACACAACTTCCAAATCTAATAGTAGTAGTTCAAGTTTTCCATGCTTGCCCCAAATAGCATTGACGCTTCCAATAATCAAACAAACTACTAAAAGAGTTGCTCGCAAAAAGGGCAAAACAGTCATCTTAACATCCATTCCATACAAAGAAGAATTAGAGACGGCAATTGCTGCAAAAAAAGTCGTCATCTTTAACGAAAAAAAAAAAGAACCAATAAAGAAAACTCGAAAATGGGACCACACATCATCTAAAACTAAAGCACCACAAAAAAAAAACTAAAATCGTTAAGAAAGCTAAACAAATCAATGAATCGTCTGATTCATCCTCAGAAGGAAGTGATGTCGAATGCTTTTACTGCGAAGAGTTATATTCAAAATCAGTAGAAGGATGGATTTCATGTTGTATATGTCATAAATGGACACACAATTCTTTGTCTGGTGTGGATAGTGAAGACGACGAAGCTTTTTGTGTTTGCGACATTTGCAAATCATTTTGTAGTATTCAAATATACTAAAAATAAATGTCTAATTTATGTTTTGCATACTTATTTAACTAGCATTTACCATACCCATTGAATGTATTTAATTTAAGTTTTTTATTTTGTCCTGTTATTGGGGTTATACCTCTGGGCAATAAAGGATTATTATTATTATACCCCATTCCACCCTATCCAGCAGAAGGGGATAATTACACACTTTATACAAAGTAATTTTTCAAAATTTAGCAACGGCAAATTTGAGAGCAATGATCTCTAAAATGTTTAGCTAATACACTAAGCTATCGTTCAATGTCAGTAGATATTAATATATTTCGCTTTTTTCGTCTATAAATTCATATCAACACTGAGTACCCCGTTGCGTCCTTCCTTCCCCTACCTGCCGCTGAAAAATAAGAAAAATGTAGGTATGTTGTACAAGTTGGCATATAGCGACTTATAAAAATACTTTAAAGACTGACACTGCCGAAGTATTTTTATTTTCTGATACAATCGAAGTTCATCGATGTTACAACTGTAATGGCTTCAATCATTGGAAAAAAAACCTGTAATAAAAATATTTTCTATCCGCGATCTAGTGATAAGCATCACGTTAAAGAATATTGTTACGAAATACACCCTTACGCCGCCTCGGTACGATTCCTATGGCCGTCGAGAACTCTTTGGTAAATAGAGTCCACCTTTGGGGAACGGATTATGCAGCTAGTCCAGTCAAGAGCGTCCAGTGAAATTCGTCGGAATAATTTCTGTACATAATCGTTGCAATAGTTGGTCGTGTAAATACGAGTTATTAACAAATAAATTGTTAAGTTTTACCTACGACGATTTAATTCACCGAACATCGTAACAATATAAAGCAATCGATTTAAAAGGTGTTAACTGCTGTAGTATTCAAGGCAAGGATAACAATCTCATTGATAGTGATATTGCCTATGTAACTCAGTTGTTCTAGAGTTCCAGAGCTGTTTCTATCTTCTTTAGACAGAGTTTGGAGTATTTCCAGCGCTGCACCTCGCAACGCTATTATCAAGGCTGTAACGTTCTATTCTTCTTCCCCGCTACCGCTGCTGCCTCAAACGGCTTTTTGTATGATGACCACGGTGTCTGACTGCCATAAGTGGACGATTGAATCGTTCTGGGGACCAACGTCACATAACATGAACCAGTGGTTGCTGCATTTTTTATTATTTGCTCATTTTACTCTCCGTTCTATC